ATTTAATTGTGTTAAACAAAGTCATCTAAAAAGGCTTGTAGACAAGGTATTCCTAGAAATGATGTTTTTTCAATTTATTTATTTATTTATTTATTTATTTATTTATTCATTCTAGAAATAATCCAACCAGAAGGCCCCAGCCTTCTGGAATATGCAGAAGGTGCGGCAAAGGCCCACTTTGGACTAATGAATGCAGATCAATCAGGGTCTCTCATAGGCTCCCATGTCAAATTTGGTTCAATCATTCCCTGTCACCATGGGGGGAACTCCTCCACTGAGCAATTAAAGGACCTAATGGTGCACAGCTTCAGTAGGTAAGACAAAATTTTCAGGAGAGACCATAAAACAAGTATTTTGGCCAACTTCTATAAATGACCAAAGACCTAAGCTTAAAGCATTGTAACTGAAGGTTTGGTTGACATAGGGGAAGATGTAACCATAATATCACCAAAATCTTGGCATCCAGATTGGACTCTTTAGGAGGTAAATGTTCAACTTCTTGGGATTGGAACTTTAGCTCAGGTAAAACAAAGTTCCCGATGGGTCAAATGCATAGGGCCAGAAGGACAGATACAAAAATTAAAACCATATGTGGCTAAACATAACAATGAATTTATGGGGGTGTTGCTGTCAGATAATGCTCTTGTACACTGTAAAGATTTGTCACTTGAATTGGTTTAATAAAATGCTGACTGGCCAGTAGCCAGGCAGGAAGTATGGGTGGTATGAACAGACTAGGAGAATTCTAGGAAGAGGAAGGGCAGAGTCAGGAGTTGCCAGTCAGGCACAGAGGAAGCAAGATGAAAATACCATTTTGAGAAAAGGTACCAAGCCACGTGGCTAAACATAAATAAGAATTATGGGTTAATTTAAGTGTAAGAGCTAGTTAGTAATAAGCCAGCTGAGCATTTATTTATAAGTACTATTAAGCCTCTGAGTCAACTATTTGGGAAGCAGCTGCTGGGTATTTGGGAACAAGCGAGAGAGAAACATTCTGCTTACAGGATGTGATTTATTACAGCAATGGAAATCAACATTCTTCCAATCTCAAAAACAAACTGTAGAGAATGCTACTGAGAGAAATATTAGATGGTATTCTGAAGAGCAGCCACAGACACTTCACGTTGTACATAAACAGAACACAATAGCTGGTAATCTTACAAGGGTACTAACAGCACTACCTTTAAAGTGGCTGACTGACAAACCATTTACCTAGGTGAAACAATGGCCTTTAACATCAGAAAAATGACAGGCATTAGAACAGCTGGTACAGAGCAGCTAAATGTTCAACATATTGAAGAATTGACCAGTGCTAGGAATTCTCCTATATTTGTCATTAAAAAGAAATCTGGGCTGGGTGGTGGTGGCGCACGCCTTTAATCCCAGCACTTGGGAGGCTGAGGCAGGTGGATCTCTGTGAGTTCGAGGCCAACCTGGGCTACAGAGTGAGTTCCAGGAAAGGCGCAAAGCGACACAGAGAAACCCTGTCTCAAAAAACAAAACAAAACAAATAATTTAAAATATCTGGAAAACAGAGAATGTTAACAGATTTGAGAGTCATAAATAAAGTAATTCAGCCCATGGGCTCCTTACAGCCTAGAATTCCCTTGCCTTCTCTATTACCTAAAGGATGGTCTTTTATAGTGATTGATTTAAAAGGCTGATTTTTTACTAGATTTTTTACAAGAACAGGTTAGAGAAAATTTTGCCTTCACAGTGCCTACTTATAACAATTCCCAGCCTGTTAAAAGGAATCATTAGAAAGTTCTCCCACAAGGGATGTTAAACAGCCCCACCTTCTGTCAATATTTTGTACAACAGCCACTGGAAAAAATTTGTAAACAGTTTCCTCAATTATAATTTACCATTATATGGACGATATCTTACATATTACAATTTTATTGTCCATGTTTTTACCAGGCTCTTTGCAGTTGGTTGTTGGTATATGTTATTTTGTTTGTTTGTTTTCTGAGACAGGGTCTCACTATGTAGCCCTGGCTTTCCTGGAACTCATTATGTAGACCAGGCTGGCCTCAAACTCACATGGATCCTTCTGCCTCTGCCTCCCAAGTGCTGAGACTAAAGGCATGTGCTATCATACCCGGCTGTTGGTATATGTTTTAATAACAGATTCTCTAAATGTAGTCCAATTTTTTTCTTGTTTATGTGTTTTCATTTTCTTCATTGCTAAGGATCTAACCCAGGATACTATGCATTTTAGGCAGGTGTTCTACCACTGAGCCCAGACCTAAGTATAATTCTTAAGTGATCACTGATGGCTCTTTTCATTTACATCAATACGTAAGACATAACTACAACAACAAAGACATGGTCAAACTATCGACAATGTAAATTTTGCAGACATAACACTTTGTGTGTGTGGTAGGCATGGGTGGCAGCAAACTCATGATGTGGCTGAGGGTAACCTTGTACTTCATATCCTCCTGCCTCTGTTTCTCAAGTGCTGGGATCACAGGTGTGTGCCACCATATCAGATGTGAGACATTTTAAAATTTAATCTCTAATAACCTTTTTTCTATCATTAGGTTTGGATAATCAACAAATCAATAAATCAAGTTCTCCTTTGCCATATATGCCAATTTTATGGTGTAAATACTCCAAAATCATGGCCAAAATCAATGTTTCCCTTGGAAACAGTCTGTGCAGTGATATTTATACTATCTTATCACATTCTACTAATGAGGTATTACATGTATATAGGCAATCACAAATGTTCAGACAATGGTAAATGTAATAAAAGCAGGAAATGAAAAGATTTATTTTTCAGCATATTTTCTTTTACTTTATGGTTATATAATTTAATGTTCTAAATAACTGTATTTACCCAATTTGCAAAATTATTGAAAACTTAACAGCTGGCTCTTTCTCTAGCACATCACTGGCTTGTCTTATTACTGAATTGGTAGAGTTCTTTAAGTGTATTCTAGTTCAGCACTTACAGGAAACCATGGAATTGGCCTGGCCTTGAGAGGCATATGTCATAGGTTTTTCAGGTTAGAGTCTGTGGCTCCTGGGCATTGTATGTCTTCAATTTCCCGAGAAATCAAGGGACTCCTTCAGGCAGTGAAACATTCAGTCAGCTTTGTGTTTCTCTTCATGTTGCCTTAGAAGTCAAGGAAGCATGGGAGCTTGACAGGACAATTGGTCTTAGACATCAATCTTGTGTACCCCGTGTAGCTTGCAAATGTCACTGTATCCTGACAACTACCATAGTATTGATCCTGGCAATCGCCATTATATTGTTTCTGATAAAGGTATAAAAAGTCTTTTTGCTCTCAATAAGATTATCACAGTCTCAGTCTTGCTGTGGCCCCTCCAACCCAGGCGTGGTTTAATTCCTGGACCAGCTATATCAGGTAACCTTGGCCTGGTAAGTAAGTATAGGCCTTACAGGCACACTCAATATTACTGTCTGGGATATTGAAAATATCTGTCAAATTGCCCAGTACAACGCAGCTACCCTGGTTGAGCTAGTGAGCATGTGAAACATAGCTAGTACAACTGAGGAGCCGAAGTTTAAATTTTACTTAATTTAATTAAGTTCAAAGTGAAATAGCTGCATAGGGCTAATGACTACTCTACGGAGGAGTGATACTCACTAGACACAGAACTGACTCTCTCCTACACAGCTGACTAATATTTGGGGCAATACTAATGATAAGAAGCATTCCTATACTCTACATGCTCACAGTAGTTAAAAGCAGACTGTAGTCAGAATGCCTGAGCTGAAATATTTCCTTCCTTTTAAAGAGCTAATAGTACCACTACACACTTGACAAAATAATGACAATAAAGTAAATGAAATCATGTAGGTAGAATGCTTAGTACTCTTTCCAACTGTATTGTAAATGCTCAGTAATCGGAGCTACATATTAGTTTCGACTTCCATTTTGAGTCTGTTAAATTTGCAGATCAGGGCATCCCTCAATCCTCACCAGAGAAGCTTCTTCTTGCAGTAGATGGCAATCAACATACAGACATACAGAGAATAAGAGACTTTGGAAATCTCAGCCCTAAATGGGATGTCTAAATCATACTTCTCACCTCAAGGCTCAGGGATCTACGTGGAAGAGGAATAGAAAGATTGTAAGAGCCAGACCTGGTGAATGGAAACAGTGTTTTCCAAACAGCAGGGAGATGCAACATGAACCTACACAGATTTGTGAGAGTATAAACAAGATCTGCAGAAGCCCAAGCTATACAAAATCCCAGTACAGAGTAGGGGAAGTGGGCACAAAAGACCTGCCCCTAGCCAAAAAGCTATTCATAACTGATAGCTAGTAGGAGAAGGAAAATCAGTTTTTTCAATGCAGTGACTCTGGGTGTATCAACCACTCTCCAGGGCAGGGCTCCATGCTTAGTTTGTTTTTTATTTTTTAGAAAGAGAAATAGAGCATGAAGTTGAGTGGGTAGGGAGTTGGGGGAAGGGGATGAATATGATCAAAATACATTGTATGAAATTCTCAAAGAATAAAATATTTTTTAAAATGGTCCTCAGAGTTACTGTATCGCTCACTGGTTTGAAAACTGGGTAAAAAAAAATCACTCATAAGTCAGTTATTAATAATCTAGGTAATCCTTCAACCATCATTCCCCAAAGGGGTTAAAATCATGTCACTATAGCCCTCTCTTCCCTTCTCCTGGCTTTAAAATTGGCCGGGCTGCGGGAGAACCCCGTGATTGACAGGGCGTCCAGCCAGTCACTGGCCCTGGCCAATCAGAGGTGGCCCCGTCTCAGGCCCAGCCCAAGTCCCTCTCCAATCGCGTCCGGGTGGCGGCCAGAGCAGGACGGTTGAGAGGCGGTCGGTTCCAAGTGGGCCGCGGCGCGGGGGAGACTGCGGCTTGGCCAGCCGGAACCCTGAAAGCGGTTCGCACGCCACGACTGGAGCCCGCACACCGCGGCCGTTGAGAACGGCCCTGCCCAGCGGGACCGCCGAGACTGACCTTTGCCGGGAGCCCATCCTGGCCGGCGGCGTGTGCTGTGGGTCCCTGGCGTCCCCTCCGGCGCGCTCTTGGAGCCACTTCCCAGAGCGGAAGTCTGCCTGCTCTGGCTCCGGTGGGACCTGCTCAGAGGAATGGCGCCGCCGGGTGAGACGTTGCGCATGGCTCAACAGTGGGGCCCCGCGGCCGACACGCCTTGGGGAGCGGGGCGCCGCCCGCGGGAGGCTAGTGCGGACCACACGGGCGCCGGCCAGGCGCTGTTCCCCTCCCCTACGGGGCAGGGGCATGGGCATGGGCTCGGGCGCTTTCGGGGTCGTAGGTGTGACGGAGGGCTGCGAGTTCTGGTGAAGTGCTGCCGACCCGAAGGGTTGGTGCGGAGGGGGAGCGTGCAACGCGTGGCTACGGGTCCCCGCGAGGCCCAGCGCGAACCGCGGTAGCGCGGACCCGGGCCTGGCCGCCTTCATTCATTTGAGTGGGACCGGCGGCCTGCAGCCTGTCGGGGAGTCACCCTTGGCGTCCTGAAAGCCTTTGACCATGTCACTGGACTTTGTTTGGGCTCTAGGTTCTTTTTCACTGACAGGGACAGGAGACTCAGCCTAAAGCCTAGGCTATGAAGGGATACTAGAGGTGCAGACTTGTAACTGGCCACATACTCATTGTGAGACCAGGTGCCAGGGACTTATCCCCTCTGCTCCTCAGTTTCTCAATTGGTACCTGCTTCGTAAGAGCTGTGTTAAATGGTATTCTGTGCTTGCTTCTAACAGTGCAGAGCAAAATTCGATGCTTGGTAGATTTTGAATGGACACGGTAGTGTGGAATCTTAGTGTCATCGTTTTAAAAATCACTATTTGGGTGTATATCTTCTATTCCCCCGGCCGAGGAGTAGTTGGAATCCCAGAGAAAGGAAGTAACTCGGGAACGCAGTGAACAGAGCTTGCCATTTCACTGATTTGCTGGTAAAGTGCTTAACGTCAGAATGTGTATTGAAACTGTCTCAAGTGTACTCAGGTGTCTTAGGGCAGGGACAGGTAACTTAGGAACCTTAATTTTTTTCTTTTTTCAAATAGGGTGTAGGGAGCTGAGGAGCTGGGTTCAGTTCCCAGCACTGAGAGAGAAACAAGTTCATGGCACGCAGGAGCATTCACTATATATTGATGAATACTGCACACTGTAGAGCTCTTTGCTCTTTTAGTTTAGGGTTGGGGCCTTAGAGGTACTATGCATCAAACCCAGGGGATGAATTCTACACTAAGCCATTGCCTCTACACATACTGGCTTTTAAGTTTTTAAAGAGCTTTCACATTTAGGTTAGCAAACACACAAAGACTTAAATGAAACTGCTGTTCGTAGAAGAGTGAGTCTCTGTGAGTTATGCATCTTTTCAACATTGTAAAAAAAAAAAAAAAGTAGGGGACTGTCAAGGTGACTCCAGAGGTTAATGTTCTTGTCATTAAGCCTTACTGTTAAGATGACTGAGTTCGATCTTCAGGTGGAACTGCATGGTAGGAGGAGAGAACTGACTCCCAAGTTTTCCTCTGACCTCCATATAGTCACACCCCCAACCCCAATTTAATTTAATTTTCTTAAGTGGAATGTGAATGAACTCCGTAGTGTTGACTGGGTTTGACTCCAACCAAGACTGGCCACTTGTAACCTACTCAGTTTTCTTCTTTGTAAAGTAATGCCTTTAAAGGAGTCTAATTCAGCTTGAGCTATAGGCAGAGGAGTTAGGGCCATTGATGTTAGTCTTGTAATTGCCTTTTAATGCTTTTAACGTGGGTGACAGAGGGTTCACTTTTTCATGACGCAGGCCATTCAAATGTTCCCTGGTCTTCATTTTTAATGAAAGAGAGGCAGATGCCATTCCTGCAGTTTCTTCCTGTCCCTAGGGGATCACAGATGGGACTGGTTTTTCTTTTTCTTTTCCCATTTATTCAGGGCATACTATACCTGGCTGTCTGTAAGACTTGGAAATACTGAGATAAATATGAGAAATAGTCTTTAGCCTCCAGCTCCTAGAGGCTAGGAGCTTACTGTTTAGCAGAGAGATCAGCCCTCATATTCTTTCTTGTTGTTGTTGTTGTTGTTTGGGGCTTTTTTGGGGGGGGTTGTTTTTTGTCTTTCCCCCCTGAGAGACAGGGTTTCTCCATGTAGTCCTGGCAGTCTTGGTACTTGCTTTGTAAACCAGGCTGGCCTCAAACTCAGAGATCTGCCTGCCTCTGCCTCCTGAGTGCTGGGATTAAAGGTGTGCATCACCACCGCTGGCTCTCCCTCACACTCTTAACTGTGGAAAATGCAGCTTAGGCACAGTATAGACTTCACTGAGTGGCTACAGCAGCAAGCACAGTAATGGAAGCAGCTGATCCTCTACCTGGTGCTCACTACAGACCAATCATTATTCTAAAAGCTTTCTCCTTTAACTCATAAGGAGCCCAGGCATGACACTTGTCATCTGCTTTATGCTTGAGGAAGCTGAGGCAGTTGCTGAATAACTTAACTGTGGTTCCTATATAGGCCAGAGACCAGGTCCTTCATTGTACTGGGGCCAAACTCAAGGAAAGCTTCTGGAAGAAACTTAAGCCGAAACCTGAAAGGACACATCATGCAAAGTTGAAGTTGAGGCAGAGCTAAAAAGAGTGTTGGGTAGGAAGGAACATGGCTCCTTGAGGAACAGGCTGGAAAGTGAAAGTTGTTAGAGTGGGCAAGGGATGAGTTTGGTTGAGAAGGAGACAAGATACAAGGATTCAGGATTGGTTCTGTCCTGAGAAGTTTTAAATGGGAATGGTGTTTTGGTGTCCTTCAGATTTCTAGAGCTTTCATGAAAGACTGTCCTGGTAGTTGAAGATGCAGGTCATCATTCCCCATCTCTTGAGTCTAGACCTGTGTTCTCTACCCATTCCCACATGGTTAGACTCCCAGTCCTTGCTGCATCATACTGTGACGAGGAGTAATGTGGCATGTACTTAACTAGCCATTTTCCTCAAAGGTTCAAGCGCTGTCTTCCTGTTGGCCCTGACAATCATAGCCAGCACCCAGGCTCTGACACCTACCCACTACCTCACCAAACATGATGTGGAAAGACTGAAAGCCTCTTTGGATCGCCCTTTCACAAATTTGGAGTCTGCCTTCTACTCCATCGTGGGACTCAACAGCCTTGGGGCACAGGTGTCAGATGTCAAGGTAAAGCTGCCTTTTTTCTGTTCACAGTGCTTTAGGAGAATCTTAATCTCCTCACATGTTCCTCTTGTATACTTTAAAACAAACTCTTGCTGGTGTATTACTGCATTTAATACAACAAATACTTCTTTCAGTCTGAGGTTGGTTCTTTACTTAATGTATGTCCCACCACGTGAGTATTTCTTCTTTTTTTTTGGATATGAGTACTCAGTCTGCATGTATGCATGTATGCCTGCATGCCAGAAGAAGGCATCAGATCCCATTACAGATGTTTGTGAGCCACCATGGGGTTGCTGGGAATTGAACTCAGGACCTCTGGAAGAGCAGCCCCAGTCATCTTCCCAGCCCCAGCTGGGTATTTCTAAGGGAAAGGAGGAAAGAGAGTCAGAGCCTCTGGAGTCTACTAGAACTCTTATCTGTGAAACTACTCAATACAGCATGGACTTGGTTTATGTACTTCTTAACCACTGAGCCATCTCCCCAGCCCCACATGTGCTTGGAAAGTGCTAGGTACATGGCTAACAACTCAAAGGAGCTCAATGTGGAGGACTCAACATGCATTGATCAGCAAGAGTCATGGTGTGGGGCAATTTGGACGAATTCTACTGTTTGGAGGCCTGCGCCCCAGCTTGCAAGTAAATACACAGAGACTTACTCTTACTTATAAATGCCCGTCCTTAACTTGGCTTGCTTTTAGACAGCTTTTCTTAACTTAAATTATCCAGTCTATCTTTTGCCTCTGGGCTTTTACCATTCTCTATTCTATATCCCTTTCTTTCCTTCTTACTCTGTGACTGGTTGTGTGGCCGGGTGGCTGGCCCCTAGTGTCCTCCTCCTTTTCTCCCTTTATTGCTCCTCCCTTTTCTCTTGAACCTAGATTTCTCCTTCTATTTATTCTGTCTGCCTGGCATCCCTGCCTAGCCCTCTCCTGCCTAGGTATTGGCTGTTCAGCTCTTTATTAGATCAATCAGGTGTTTTAGACAGGCACAGTAAGACAGCTTTACAGAGTTAAACAAATGCAACATAAAAGAATGCAACACATCTTTGTACCATTAAACAAATATTCCACAGCATAAACAAATGTAACACATCTTAAACTAATATTCCACAACAAGGAACAGCTAAGGGGGTGTGTAGTCATTACAAAGTCATGGACAGTTAGGCTAAGACATTTTCTATGACTTCATAAGAAATTACCATACATTTAGGATTTATAAACCACCCATTTGTGTAGCAAAATGGCTCAGTGAGTCAAGGTACCTGCTGCCAAAGCTGATGACCTGAGTGAGTTCAGCTCTCAGAACTCATGGCGGAGGGAGAAAACCAACTCCTGCAGGCTCTTGGTGACAGAGATGAGGCTCGGTTTGTCAGGCTTGTCTGCAGATACCTTTGCTAGCCGAGCTATCTCATTGACTCTGGTACTACTTTTCATTATAGCATGCATCCTTGATTTGTCACAGTGTGCCCTGATGTGGCTCTGCTTCTTCCTCGAGGGTCGTATGTACATTGGTCCATGAGGGTGGAGGAAGCAGAAGTGGGGAACAGTGTTTAGATGGCTGTGGGTATGATGGAGACAGCCCTCTGGGGTATGACTTTGGTGAATCAGCTCAGCTTTATTCCAGAGTATAGGGAATAGGATTGGGAAGGCTGGGGACAAACCCTAATTTGCATTAAGTGGCACACTCCTATCATAAGGCTTCACATGTGACACCAGGGTCCTATAGCAAAGCTCTTAGTACAAGTCTTAGTTGCCATATGTACAGCAGGGGAAGGCTTCTAGCAGGACACTGTGCTAAGGGTCATGCTAAAGATAAGTTAGGTCATCCAGGCTCAGAGACAGCTTTCAGATAAGGTCAGTCCTCCGGACCCAGGGACATTCTCCAGAGAAGGGCAGGTAGAGGACAGTTAGTCTTACTGGGATGGAGTCCCCCATGTCATCTAGCTTTGGAGAAAGCTGCTAGACCATGATGGACTGCAATCTCTGACCATCAAGGCCTCCCACCACTTTGAGCTATTTTGCTACATCACAAATAATGAAAGACCTTTATGATAAGATGTTTCCACACAAATGCCCATTGTTTATGCTGTTACCTTGCTTTTTGCTTTCTTTGAAGAGTCAGTGGGCAAAGTGATGCACACCTTTAGTCCCAGCACTTGGGAAGCAGAGGTGGAAAGATCTCTGAGTTCCAGGTGAGCCTGGTCCACAGAGTGATTTCCAGGCCAGCCAGGACTACAGAAAGAGGCCCTATTTCAAAACGGGCAGGAGTAACCAGAGTGTGTACTGTCTGTTGTCCAGTGTCTCGATTTCCTATATTTTGCCTAGTTTTGTAGTTACTGGGAGAAGCGTCAAGTTGATGCCTTCAGTTCTGTCTTGGCCAGAACTGGGAGTCCCTGCCAGTGTCTTTTAGTTCATGTCAGCGCTTGTTCTTTTTGGGGGGCTAAAAATGTCCCGTTTGTGCCAATAGGTCAAGGGGTGTGTGTGTGTGTGTGTGTGTGTGTGTGTGTGTGTGTGAGAGAGAGAGAGAGAGAGAGAGAGAGAGAGAGAGAGAGAGAGAGAGAGGGGAGGGAGAGAGGAAGGGAGGGAGGGACCATGAGCACACACTTCTTCTTGGCTTTTGGGCAGGATCTACTCTATCCCAGGCTGGAGTCAGTAACCAGTGTTACTTATTGAGGATTTTGTATGTACCAGGTACACCTGGTATGTTCTTTTGAGTTATCTTCATGTGTCTATATTGTCAGAAACATTTCCTGTAACAGAAGAGGAAACAAGACCTAGAAGAGGTTAACTGTGAGTATCTACCAGTGAGTCTGAATGTGAAGAGGGTGACAGACTCTGGTTCCCATGGTCACATCCATGTTGAAGCTTGTTTTTGTAAATGAGGGTTTATTGAAATATAGTTACACCGTTCATATACATATCATCTACTGCTGCTTCTGTACCTTAATAGTGTACTGCGTAGTTTCTAGGCTGTCTAGCCCCAAATCCTGAAATAATGACTAATTGGTCTTTTATAGGAAACATTTGCTAATCCCTGCTGTCTGGGAATCAGCTTATTCAAATTTCTCCTGTTTGTGACTATGTTAAGGATGCACTTTTCCTCATAGTCTCGTGAACCCTCAAAGTGAGTTATTTTAGCTTGAAAGTAAGCTCACAGGCATCAGTCAGTTAACCTCAACTTTTCATTCTGCTCCCCTTTTCTGTGAAAAGGGAATTATGTATCCCACCTCACTAGATTGTTGTTAGTATAAAGTGAAATCAGATTATGCCACAAAGGGCCCCTTTCACAGAGTAGCTCTAGTTATGGTTCTTAATAGTGAGGCATTTTTTTTGTTCTAGTGATAATTTATTTAGGCAAGTTCAGACAATGCCTAGCACAGACACTATGTTTGTGGTGTGCTTTAATGACGCTTCAGTGCTACCCTGTTTCCTCAGAGTATGTGGGTCCCTGAGGAGAGAGTCCTCAACAACTTGAGGGACCTGGAGTGGAACAGAGGCACCTAGTAGAGCTTTTGTATTGTAAAGTGTAACTGATGAAGTTGGACTGTTAGACTACTGGCAGATTTTAGGAGGATGGAATGCAGGGTGAAAGATTTCTACCAAGGGCAGAACATTTGTGAGTCATCGGATTTGTGTTTGAGGCTTGTGGAGGAGTGAGGCACTTACCGTGCCTTCTGAGCTGTGGCATGATTTAGAGTTCCACGTGAAATTTAGTTTGAGCACGTTCCTCTAAAAATATTCTTTGCTGGTGTTGTGAGTTTGAGGAGACATTGATTAGGACTGAAGGTGTGAACTGAAGTGGGACTGTGGGAAGAGAAGCCAGCAGCAGGTTGAGAGACAAGGATGAATGAGTTTGTTTAAATCAAGACTTGAACTTTATGAATGCATTATATGTTGTCAATTAGAGAGAAGGATTGCGCTGATGAGATGATGGAGAGCAACCTCTGCAAAGCCTGGGGCTTACTAGTGCTTGAAGTGTTGCCTAGGAGTTGGTGTCTAGGGCAGCAGGAGCCAGGGGTATTGGAAGCATGGTAGGCAGGCAGTGTGTACGGAAACAGTGGGCTCAGTGGCAAAGGATATGCTTGCTTAGTGTGAGGTCTAAGAGGAGACGAGAGGGGCTGGGAGCTGGTGCTGGAGGAAGTGAGGGAGAGGGTGGGCAGGAAAGAGCCATGTAGTATATGGTGTCTGATTGGGTTTGGGGGCCTGGAAGGAAGGTAGGAGAAAGTTCACTCAGGATGGTGTTGGGGCCCTTGGGATTTTACCAAAGGGCACAAAGAACCGAAGTGAGGATGTGTGTGGAGAGTACCTACAGGTAGAGCTAGCTGCTGCCCCAGCCCTGGAGTGGAGAGAGGAGCACTCACTGAAGGTCCTGAGCATGTTTATGAAGTTCCCCCGCTCCCGTTGATGTTAGAGCCGTGCTGTGGACATCATGAGCCACTCACCATTCTTACCCTTGCCCTTGGCTTGTCCTTGGGAGCGTCAGAGTAGGAATCTACTCCACAACACATTTTAGCAGCCTCTTCTGGTAGGGGTTACAGCCAGGCCCTCTGGATTTGAAGGCAGTTCTAGTTAGGAATGACCTCAGTTGAGCTGCTTTGCTTCTCTATGAACTTAAGACAGTAAAAGTGTCCATGGGAAGGGTCATTTAAATCCCCTAGAGGCACTTCCTACACTGTGACACATTTGAAGTGCTGGGAAAGAGGTCCCTTACCACTGTGGGGACCTGGTGCTGTCTTTTCATTGTTAAAGCACCAGAGGGCAGCAGAGCACTTCTTAGCGTCTTTGCTGTGTGTGGCCATGTTACTTTCATGAAGTAATCAGTTTCCTTCTTTAGATCCCAGTTTATACAAGGGGGAGTATTTAGATTCTTTCCTTTTCCCTCTGGTTCTTTTATTTGATTTGGTTTTGGTTTTCTGAGACGGGGTTTCTCTTTGTAGCCCTGGCTGTTATGGAACTTGCTCTGTAGACCAGACTGGCCTCACACACACAGAGATCTGCCTGCCTCTTCCTCCTGAGTGTGCAGGAGAGATTAAAGATGTGTAGCATCACGGCCCTGCCTTCCCTCTGGTTCTTTCAAACTGCACTCAAGTTGAAACTTGTTTTTTTTGAAGATTTGTTGTTGTTGTTTATTTTATGTATTTGAATGCTTTGTTTTCATCCATACCAGAAGAGGGCATCAGATCCCATTACAGATAGTTGTGAGCCACTATGTGGTTGCTGGGAATTGAACTCAGGAGCTCTAGAAGAGTAGCCAGTGCTCTTAACTGCTGAGCCATCTCTCCAGCCCATTAAAAATGATATTTGTTTTTTTTTTCCTGATTTGGGGGGGGGGGGGGTCAATCCAAGGTTTCTTTGTGTAGTGTTGGCTGTCCTAGAACTTGCTCTGTAGACCAAGCAGGCCTCGAACCCACAGAGATCTGCCTGCCTCTGCCTCTTGAGTGCTGGGATTAAGGGAATGCACCACCACACCTGGCTCCTTTTTGAGGATCTATCTTAAGTTTTGTTCCTAACAGTTTTTTAAAAGAGTTGTTTTGTTTTTTGAGTGACCCAGTCCTGCAGTGAGACATGACATCATGTAGCATAGCTGTTAGGGGAGGGCACAGGTGGTTTCATGACTCACCCACTCCCACTCCCTATTCCATTCCCCAGAGGTTCCTACTTTTTCTTTTCTGTGATTTTTAGGATCAAATTCCAGGTCTTGTGCATGCTAGGCAAGTAGTCTATCTCTTAGCAACACCTCCCAGCACCATAAGCACCCACTTTTAACTGGATTGGCCATAAAATTTTGAATAGCTGGGAGGAGGGTAGTTTTGTCTTTTGAGACAAGGTCTCTCTACATAGCCCTGGCTGTCCTGTAATTCACTATGTAGACCAAGCTGGCCTCAAACTTGTGGTGGTATTGTGTTCCCCAAAATATTGTGCACCCTAATAAGCTTATCTGGGGTCAGAGAACAGAACAGCCACTAGATACAGAGGCTAGAAAATGGTGGCACTCACGCCTTTAACCCTAGCATTCCAGAGGCAGAAATCCCTCTGGATTTCTGTGAGTTCAAGGCCACATTGGAAACAGCCAGGCATGGTGACACACACCTTTAATCCCAAGAAGTGAGCCTTTAATCCCAGGAAGTGAGGGCAGAAAGCAGAAAGGTATGTAAGGCGTGAAAACCAGGAACTAGGCTGGTTAAGCTTTTAGGCTTCGAGCAGCAGTTCAGCTGAGTGCCATTCGGATAAGGACACAGAGGCTTCCAGTCTGAGGAAACAGGATCAGCTGAGAAGTTGGCCAGGTGAGGTGGCTGTGGCTTGCTCTGTTTCTCTGCTCTTCCAGCATTCACCCCAATATCTGGCTCTGGGTTTGTTTGTATTAAGACCTTTTAAGATTCATGCTACACAAACTCGCAGCCTAGTTCTGCTTTCCGAGTGCTTGGATTAAAGACATATGCCACCATGCCTGGGAAATAGCTGTGTTCTATACTAGCTCATTTAAAGTATATGTTTAGCAGTATAACTATTTTCCCGCCCTTGGCTATTTCTGCCTGGCACCTTTTCCTTGTCTCCTGTCTACCAGTGAGATCCTCACTTCGCCTCTGCTCAGATGCACCCGTCTCATACAACCTTTGTTGATACTCATCCCATGAGAGGCCACAGCCCCCACTCTGCCCTGTACATCCCAAAGCACTTGCCACAGGTACTCAGCGACAGCTGCCTGAGAACATTGCACCCAACACAGTAATGAGCACAGGACAAAATTCCAGCCACTTCTGCAGGAGAAAAGAGTAAGATTCTGGGGCCCTCCGTGGGCCCTGCTGATGAAGCTGCCACAGAAGGGGGTGTGGGGGGATGCCACTCAGACATTGTGTGCTATGTTGGTAACTTTGGATCTTTTCTGGGAGTGATGGGAACCATGGATGCCTTTAATAATAATGCAATGTGAGTGCTTTGTATTTCATAGTTTCGTCTTGTGGTGCACAGAATAGATCGCATGCATTGAGGCAGTTAAAAAAAGACTAACAGTCAGGTGAGGGATGACAAGGACCTGCCTTAGGGCAGAGACAAGCCAGGGGCAGTGTCGGTTGAAAATAGAAAGGAAGTAGACTTGGAGGGAAGGGAATAGTCCACAGCAGTTCCCCAGTGTCTGGTCTGGGTGGTTGGATGGATAGTGATGCTTGTGCCTGAGCCAGGAAGTCAGGTGAAAGAGGGGAAGGCTTTAAAGTCACTTTCGATTGGTTGTCTGACTTGGCTTTGGAGACACGACACTGGAAAACCCAGGACACTTAGCATCAGAGGACACTCTTAACTCTGCCCTCTTCCACAGGCCACTCATCTACTCTCGTCCCAGTTACTTTTCTGCTCCTGGAGGTAATGGTGGTGTCTGTGAAGGGCCTATGCTCATCAAAAGGGAGAGCACTGTGACACCCAACACAGGTCATGGCCAGAGCAAGGCACTTAAGTGGTTTCTACCAATCTCAGACTTGCTGTTCCTTGTGTAAAGTCAGCAATTTGGGGTAATAGTGTCCTGTGGAAAATAACTATTTAAAAACAGTTATATTTAGAATAATTCACAATTTAAGCCTCCGTAGATGGTTTTAGATTTTTATTTATCCCCCTAAGCACTTTTACCTTTCCAAGTTACTGTGTTATTTCACTACTTATCTTTGAATTTCTCCCTTGTTTAGAAAGCCTGTACCTTCATCAAGTCTAACCTGGACCCCAGCAACGTCGACTCCCTATTCTATGCTGCCCAGTCCAGCCAGGTGCTCTCAGGCTGTGAGGTGAGCCCAGGTTCCTATACTGCCTTCCACTTATTTGTTTATTTATTTATAAGCAGTAAGGTGCATTTTTAGAGAGAGTATAATGTCAGATTGTTAATATAATTTTTAAGAATAAGGAATTGTTAGTGTAGGTTGGAATTCATCCACGTAAGTTTTACTCCTATAAGAAAATATATTTCCCTTTAAGGGTTCACTGTAATGACTTTTAGATTAGTTTTTCTTTTCTTTTCCTTTTTTTTTTTTTTTTTTTTTCGGTTTTTTGAGACAGGGTTTTTCTGTGTAGTTTTGGTGCTTGTCCTGGATCTCGCCCTTTAGACCAAGCTGGCCTTGAACTCACAGAGATCTGCCTGGCTCTGCCTCCTGAGTGCTGGGATTAAAGGCATGCACTACCACAGATTAGTTTTTCTTACACTTCTTATCTCTTCTGGGAGGCCTTGAGATTTCTTTCCTTTCTCCTTTAACATTTAAAAGCATTCAGTGCACCCTCACCTCAGATTTCTAGATCTTTCTGTTGAACAAGCAACTTGTTGGTATCGTTTGGGAGGTTGTCTTAGTTAGAGTTTCTATTGCTGTGATAAAACACCACGACCAAAAGGAACTTGGAGGGAGGGAGTTTTGCTTAGACTTCCACATCACAGTTCACCATCAAAGGAAGCTAGGGCAGGAGCTGAAGAAGAGGCACTGGAGGATTGCTGTGTACTGGCTTGCTCCTCATGGCCTGCTCAGCCTGCTGTCTTATAAACCTCAGGACCACCTGCCCAGAGGTGACACCACATCAATTTTCAGGAAAATGCTCTATAGATTTGCCCACAGGCCAGTTTTATTGAGGCATTTTCTCAATTGAGGTTCAGTCTGCCCAACTAACTCTAGCTTGTGTTAAGTTGACAAAAAAACAATCAACAGAGGTGGTGTTGACTTTATGAGCATTTGGTTTGGGGGTGCTGGGTGGTCATGCTTTGGCAGACGCACACATACTGTTGTCAGTATGCCTTCACTTGTTCTAACTGTGTCTGCCATTTCTTTCCTAGATATCTGTTTCAAATGAGACCAAAGATCTGCTTCTGGCAGCAGTCAGTGAAGACTCCTCTGTTGCCCAGATCTACCACGCAGTTGCAGCACTCAGTGGCTTTGGCCTTCCCTTGGCATCCCATGAAGCCCTTGGTGCCCTTACAGCTCGGCTGAGCAAGGAGGAGACTGTGCTAGCGTAAGTTGTCAGTTTGATCACTTCCTGAGCATCATTTGTGTTGGTTACTAACCTGAGAGGGTTCATTCATTGCTGCGGCACATATTTCTGGACATCTGCTGTGGGCCAGGTGCTCTGTTAGATGTGGCAGACACTATTCTGGTGTGTGTGTGTGTGTGTGTGTGTGTGTGTGTGTGTGTTTGCTTGCAACTGGAGGCCAGGCCAGGTGTCTTCCTCGGTCACTTTTCACCTTTTTTGTTTTTGTTTTTTGTTTTTTATTTGAGGCAGGATCTCACTGTTTAGCCGCGGCTGTTGGAACTCCCTATGCAGACTAAGCTGTCCTTGAACTCACAGAGATCCACCTGCCTCTGCTTCCCAAGTGCTGGAATTGAAGGAGTGTGCCATCACTCCTGGCATTCTACTTTGGTTTTTGAGACAGGTTGGCTAATGAGCTCCAGGGATCCTCCTGCTAGTACTGGGGTTACAGACACACTGCTGTGTCCAACTTTTCCTTGGGTTAGGAGTCTGAACTCAGGTCCTCATGCCTGCATCTCCCTATCCCCAGTGACTGGCACTTGGGTTAGGCAGAAAGGTCTGGTCGTTGGCCCTGTGGAATTCACACAGACATTATCTTCCAGCTGTTTGGGCAGAAGGCAAGGGCTGAGGTGGTGTAAGTCTACCATCATACAGAGACAGGTTGGAGGCCGGAGCAAGGGTAGATTACCAAAGGACAATGAGGCCAGTGAGCTACATTCAGTTTCTGGTGAGGCTTGGCCAGGGCTGTTGAGACGTTAGTACTAGGGGTTCTGTGAAGAACGGGAATGTACTGGATCCCTTGGAGTTGTGAGAAACAGCGTCTATTGGGCAAATGGATTCTCAGGGGATAACACAGTCTAGAAATCAGACTCTGTTCCTCTGCAAAAGGCATAGGTGATGAAAAAGCACTTTATGGGATGATTTTACCCCACATGTGAGAGAGAGAGAGAGAGAGAGAGAGAGAGAGAGAGAGAGAGAGAGAGAGAGAGAGAGAGCGAGAGCGAGAGTATGTGTGTGTGTGTGTGTGTGTGTGTGTGTGTGTGTGTGTGTGTGTGTGTGTGTGTGTGTGCGCGTGCGCGCATGAGTGTGGAGAATAAATTCATTACAGGTGCTGCTCCCTCGGTGCCGTTTACTTGTTTCTTGAGACAGGGTGGGCTGGCTTTTTCTCTTTCTTTCTTTCTTTCTCTCTCTCTCTCTCTCTCTTCCTTCCCTTTCCCTTCCTTCCTTTTTTTTTTTTTTTGGAGGGGGGTTCAAGAGAGGGTTTCGAGGCCAGAGAGATGGCTCAGCAGTTAAAAGCACTCTGGCTGCTCTTCCAGAGGTCCTGAATTCAATTCCCAGCAACCACATGGTGGCTCACAACCATCTGTAATGAGATCCGGTGCCCTCTTCTGGCATGTAGGCGTATATATCCAGACAGAATGCTGTATACATAATAAATAAATAAATCTTTAAAAAAAAAAAAGAGTGATTCTCTGTGTGTTCCTGGATGTTCTGGAACTCACTTTGTAGACCAGGCTGGCGTTGAACTCAGAACTCTGCCTGCCTCTGTCTCCTGAGTGCTGGGATTAAAGGCGTGCACCACCACTGCTCAGCTGAGACCAGGTTTCTAATGGCATGCAGCTTGTCAATAGGCTAAGCTGGCTGACCAGCAAGCCCCAGGGATCCTCCTGTCTTCTTTTTCTTAGTGGTGAGATAACACGCACACACCACTGTCGAGACCCTGAGTGGCTTTTACGGACGGTTATTATAAAGAGATCTGGTAACTGATTCGGAATGTTTGTTAAACTTAAAAGTGAAAATATATTTTCGAAATTATTCTTTAAAACTGAAACTTACCATTTAAAACAATAGTCCATGCTGCTTTTTGTGTGCCTCTGATGTGGAATACCTGGAGCCCTGTCGTACGGGCTAGTTTTATGTCAACTTGACACAAGCTTTTGTCATCTGAGAGGAGGGAGCCTCAACTGAGAAAATACCTCCATAAGACCGGATTATAGGAAAGTTTGTAGTGTATTTTCTTAATTAGTGATTGGTGGAGGAGGGCCTAGCCCATTGTGGGTGATGCTATCTCTGGGCAGGTGGTCCTGGGTTCTATTAGAAAGCAGGCTAAACAAACCATGGAGAACAAGCCAGTACGCAGCACCCCTCCATGGCCTCTGCATCAGCTCCTGTCTCAGGTTCCTGCTCTGTTTGATTTCCTGTCCTGACTTCCTTCAACAATGAACAGGAACATGGAAGTGAAAGGCAAATAAACGCTTTCCCCTTCAGGTTGCTTTTGGTCATGGTGTTTCATCACAGCAATAGAAACCTCACTGAGACACCTGTTAATGCTTTCACAGCAGGTTAACAGTACCAATAACTCCTTTCAGAACAGTGGGTTTAGGCCTGGAAATGCAGAGCAGTGTTTAGTAAAGCACTTACCATGAGTAAGGCCTACTACCATAAAATCAAACCACCTGGGCCCTAGGAATGGCTCAGCAGGTAAATCTGCTTGCCTTAAGCTAAGACCCTGAGTTTGGGGCAGGAAACCACATGGTGCAAGGAGTGAACCAACTCTGACAGGTTGGTCTCCAGCCCGCACATATGTGCCAGGGCATCCACATGCATGCATACCCCAACAAAAAAGCAGGCTGGTTCCCAGAAGTTTGTGAGTTGGGGAGCAAAAACCAGATTGTTTCTAAACTTGAAGCTTTGTTAAGGGAAGGGTTCAGTTGACAATCTCATTGTTACTTTTAGTCCTGCTCATATTGACAAGGTCAATAGTGACATAAGAGCAGAAAATCTCTCTTACACTCATGCTTTTGTGCATAATTGCCTGGTGCTCGGCTCTTAGAAATCTTTTATTTTAGGCTGCTTGGGGTTTTTTTTGTTTGTTTTTGTTTTTTGATTTTTGAAACAGGGTCTCTTCATAATCCTGGCCATCCTGGAACTCACTGTGTAGACCAGGCTGGCATTTAACTCACAGAGATCTGCCTGCTTCTGCCTTCAGAGTGGTAGAATTAAAAGTGCACCACCATGCCTGGCAGACCACTTGCTTTTGTCTCTGTTCATACTCCCTTTTAGTGGATTGCATCCCCAGTTAGCACCACATAATGTCATATCACCATCATGCTACCTTCTTAAGGGGGGGCACTTGGGAGATGAGGTAGAGGCAGGCAGATCTCAGTGAGTCTAGGCCAACTAGAGTTACATGGTGAGACCCTGTCTCAAAAGAAAGAAAAGAAACACCTCACAATAGGAAGAAGCACAAGGAAAGGTAAGCTGCTTTGGAATCAGACACACTTGGCTTTGAGCCCAGGGTATGTTCCCTTCTTGCTGTGGGACTCTGGACAAGTTAATAATGTCTTTGAGTTTCATCTGCACAATGAGGCCAACAATCTTTACAACGTGGGCTGAGTGTAGAGATGGTAGATGTGCAGAGCCTAGCACTGTGCCTGTCCTTGGACATACAGCGTTTTGTTCTTGAGGAGCGAGATGCTTCCTTGGTAGGACTGTAATAATTTCTGTATTAGAGCCTAAGTTGCTGTGCTTACATGGCTCCTGAGTCTGACACAGTGGATGTGCCAAATAAAGAGTTAATGAAGACTGACATTATACTTGTGTGTGGTTTGAGAAAAGGGCATATGCTGTCAGTCAGATAGCACTGTGTCAGTCTGTCTTGTCTGTGTAGTACCTCTGTGCAGCGAGCTTATTGCTTCCTCTTCCCTGCAGCCTCAGATGCTCCCACACCTGAACGTGGCCTTCTCGAAGGGTTATCCTAAAGGTTAGACTGGCAGGATGCTTTTAATTTTAATGAAGCTAATTTGACCAAATCAGTAAGGGCTGGTGTAAATTAGGACTGTCTGCGATGGACCTTTGTGTGTGAGTGGAGTTGTTCTAAGGAGTGTATGTTCATAAGTTAGTCTTGAAAAGTAAAAAGTGTCAGTCGGAATGAACCATCTGAACCAAGATCTTTGATAGCTGAGTTCTTTGAATTATCTGCTGTATATGAACAAGACAGAGTTGGCTTTCTCTGTGGTAGAGCGTAGTATTCTAGAAAGAAGTTATTGCTAACTGGGGATAAGCAATGAAGCCAGTGACAGAACTTTTCTAACACTAAGTGATTGACTTCGTTGTGAAACTTTTGAGATCAGTGCAGCATGACATGCAGTTGCTCCGAAGAAGAGAAAAATGATGTCTTAACTGAAAAGTTCTTCTTGACAGTCTGAGCAGCAGTTTCTGAGCTGGCATTTATTTTGGGCAGATGGGGGAATTTTTGTTTTGTTTGGAAATTCAGGTTTCATTTTCTCAAGTGCGTTACAATGACAAGTGTCCTGGAGGAGTCATTAAAAACTCATGGGGCGCCGGGCGGTGGTGGCGCACGCCTGTAATCCCAGCACTCGGGAGGCAGAGGCAGGCGGATCTCTGTGAGTTCGAGGCCAGCCTGGGCTACCAAGTGAGTTCCAGGAGAGGCGCAAAGCTACACAGAGAAACCCTGTCTCGAAAAACCAAAAAAAAAAAACCTCATGGGTCTTCTCTCCTTCAATTGTGACTCTTCTGTCTTCCAACTTGTCATCTTAATAGAATTAGCTTTCCATGGAGGGAATCTAAATTGTTATGATCTCAACATAAGTAGACAGAGTCTTCCTCTACATTCGCTGACAATGACTTGATCAGTAGTGGTTTACACAAAGACTCAGGCATCTCTTAGGAATTATTCAATTCTTTGCCTGAGCAGCAGAACATTTGACCACCAGGGGGCCTCAGCTTCCCTCATTTTACCCAGAGAAATATCTGTGCTCTCCATCCAGACTATCTGCATTAACAGAAAAAAATCTAATAAAAAAAATTACGTGTGTAAAAGTGTCATGTTCCACCTTAAAATATGTTGTTGTTGTTATTTAGGTAGGGGTGTGTGTGTGTGTGTGTAGAGGCAGGCACATGCCCTGTGGTACACATGGGGAAGTCAGAGGGGAAAAAATTTTTTTGTGTGTGACCAAGTGTCTCTATATAGTTCTGCTGTCCTGAAACTCCTTCTGTAGACCAGGCTGCCTCTAACTCACAGAAATCTGCCTGCCTATGTCTCCTGAGTGCTGGGATTAAAAGTGTGTGCCAACACCCCCAGCAAAATGTTTCTCTTATAGAATATACTCTTAAAATAATAAAAATATATGAGTAAAACAGAGAATAAAATGCTGATACATGCCACACTGTAGATGAGCTAAAATTAAAAGGTCATATTGCCAGGTGGCGGTGGTGCACGCCTTTAATCCCAGTACTTGGGAGGCAGAACCAGATGGATCTCTGTGAGTTTGAAGCCAGCCTGGTCTACAGGGTGAGTTCCAGGACAGGCACCAAAACTACACAGAGAAACCCTGTCTCGAAAAACCAAAAAAAAAAAAAAAAAAGAAAGAAAGAAAAGAAAAGAAAAAGTCATATATTAGGGACGATATCATACCAGTGGTAGAACGCTTACTTGGTGTACACAAGACCTGGACCTGATGCTCAGGACCTTCCCAACAAGTCATGTGTTGTGAGAGTATCCAGAACAGATAAATCTATAGAAGTATGTTACTGGGCCGGGGGGGGGGGGGGGGGGGGGGGGGGGCGCTCCACCATGCAGAGGAACTGCTTAATGCCCTGGAACTTTATTTGGAACTCATGGAAATGTTCTGCTGCATATAAACAGAGACAGTGGTTGGACATTGTGACTGTAATAAGTGCCACTGAATTCACTTTATTTTGAATTTTGAGATTAAGGGGCTTGGTATATAGCTTAGTTGGTAGAATACTGCTTGAGAGTTGAGTTGTAGTGATAGAATGCTTTCATAGCATGCATGAGGTCCTGGGTTCAGTTCCTAGCACTACATAGAGCAAGTATGGGGGTATACACCTGTGATCCCAGCACTCGGAAAGTAGAGGCAGGAAGACTAGGAGTTTAAGGTTCATCAACAGGTTTGAGGCCAGCCTGGGCTATGTAAGACCCATCTCCCAAAATTAAATAATAAAATTTTTTAAATTGAATATCATTTTAATAGTATAAAGTAATTGTTCATAAGAATTAAGTATATATTATACATGTATTCATAAGGTTTTATATATAGAATACTAAATAAATGATTAAAAGAAAATAAGACTAAATCTGTCCCTTCTCTCTCCTGAATGCCGGAGGGAGTGTCACTTGTAGATCTTGCAGTAGGAAGCTGGCGGCATAAGTGGGGACTGTTGAGCACATGGTTGCCGAATCTTTTCCTTATGTGCTTTAGTCTAGTTTTAGAAAAGTTGCTCCAATTTCTGCCCAATTTACAAACGTAGATCTCACAGTACTTCTTTAGTCTTGAGTAGATCACACGATCCTTCTTTAGTCTGGAGTAAGAAAGATAGACAGTTGACAAGCAGCCGATTTCAGCCTAGCATAATATCCTGTACAAGGTAGAGAATGCCTTCAGGCATGTTTCTATACCGTTAACTAAATCTTAGTGTCAGTGCTTTATTCTTTACCTTCCAGAACAGTCCAGGCTCTGCAGACAGCATCCCACCTATCACAACAAGCTGACCTGAGGAACATCGTGGAAGAGATTGAGGTATAAGTCTGTTTCTCCACATGAGTCTCGGAGCTCCTGTCTTTGACACCCTTTAAGACACTCTTGCAAGTAGACAGGACTGGTTTCTTGTAACAGGCTTTGTATCTTTTATATCCATGGCTGTGAAGTCCAACACGCTTGGGTTCTTTGTATTTAAGCAGTATGTCCTAGAGAATATTTGTTAGGCTAGTAATGGCCATAAGTTATGGAACCAACAAATCTAAAACTCAAATGCTTCTCTCTGCCACTTACGGCTTTGTAATTGTAGGTAAGGTGTGGGAGTCAGTAAGGTTAAAAGAGCCTGCATATATTAACTCGCTACCTGTTAAGTGGATACTGTGGGTGGGGCTTTTGGTTGAGAGTCTCATTCTGTAAACCATATTGGTCTTAAATTTGGCGGCATCTTCCTGAGCTAGGATTTTAATGTGTACTGCCATCCCTGGCTCACTGCCGTTTTTACTATTGCTCAGTCCTGTTCCCAGGATATTCTGTTCCTTGGGACACTCTCAAGAGCTATCTATATAGCAGTGATGATGGGCAGCTCTGGCAGTGTTGTTGCTGTGTGCTTCACAGGCACAGAAACTGCCTCATTCTGCTCCCCAGAAGAGCAGCGGGTTCTTGTCTTGTAGAGCATTGACTGATGAGAAGTGCTGTGATTGTAGGTACTATCCAAGTGGGAGGCCACAGCGCCATCTCCGTTGTGATGCTGCCTGGCAACACTGCAGCCCGGATCACTGTTCTGCCCAAACTGATGGCTGCATCAGTGCCCTGGCTCTTAGACTTTGGCAGGAGTGCAGGGGACTATGGGAAGCATGCTACCAGAGCTGCTGGAGACTGCCTGTCTGCCCTTCTATAGAAAGTACTAAGTGGTTATGGTGGTCTTCGGGTTTAGTGAGATTTCTCAGAAAGGCCAGCTCTGGGGTGACTGTACTTTTTGTATCTCATTTCTGCGATCTCTGTGTCCCAGTGTGCCTCCATTTCTTCATGACAGGACCTTGTTGCTCGACTGGATGAACTAGGGGGCGTGTATCTCCAGTTCGAGGAAGGCCTGGAAACCACAGCATTGTTTGTTGCTGCCACCTACAAGCTCATGGACCATGTGGGGACTGAACCATCCATAAAGGAGGTGCCTGTCTAATGCTTCTCCAGCGTGTAACTCAAAGGCATTGTTGAGTTTATCTTTCAAGGAGAGCTATCTCCAGAGAAGGCTATTCAGATCATACCTCAGGGTGTTGTTATTCATGATTTAGGGTAGGTTTTAAGAATGAGAAGTAGAGCCGGGCGGTGGTGGCGCACGCCTGTAATCCCAGCACTCGGGAGGCAGAGCCAGGCGGATCTCTGTGAGTTCGAGGCCAGCCTGGGCTACCAAGTGAGTCCCAGGAAAGGCGCAAAGCTACACAGAGAAACCCTGTCTCGAAAAACCAAAAAAAAAGAATGAGAAGTAGAAAGGTATAATGCCTGTACTTAGAAGCTGATAGTTGGTGTGACAGGCACCTGTGTACATGAGGCACCTGCATGCCATTAAATAGGGGCAAGGTCAAGTCTATCACCCTCCTGACAGCCCTTTCTGCCTGTCTCCTGTGTGCTTCCCTCTTTACTGGCCCCCAGAGAACCTCTCTCCAGGAAGCACCCTGAACTTCAGAATTGCCTGTTCTCCCCTCTCCCCTTCATCCTCAGCAACAGCTAATTCAGATATCTCAGCTGCTGGATGTAGTCTTCCTGCTGTTTCCCTGAGAAGCGTATGTGTCCTCCAGATACTGCTAAGAATGGATTTTGTTTGGGGGGGGTGGGGGGTGGGGGAGTTGTTCTTAAGAAGAGCTTCTTAGCCTGAACGGTTTAATTAAAATCTGTGTGATAAATATTTTTAAGTAGAACCTCTCTGTCCCTTGTATGTGAGGTTACCAACCTTTGGTCTAAAATACTTAAAATACAAGTTCTGATACTTAGATTTTTAGAGGAAGGGTTTGAATCTAAAGCTAAACTCATTTTTTTTGCATTATGCAAATGTCTTTATGTAACCAGCAAATAGCATCTATCTTGGGTAGCTAGAATTAGTTTTCTCATCATTTGTTCATGTCCCTGCACTCTCACTGTGTCCATTCCTTCTTCCTCAGCATAGGAGTACTAGAACTATCAGGCTCCCTTTGCACTTTGGTCGGGGTGAACACTAAGGAATGCAGGGTCTTCTGGTATAAATTGTTTGGGGGTTTCTGTATGCCTTGACATAGATGGACTGCTGACTCTACATATATACAACTTAAACTTTTTCTTGTTTTAGTCCCAAGCTGTTACTAACCAGGTATTTGGCTAGAGTAATTTTGCTGTCACTGCTTTTGACATAGCAATTCTGGTGAATAGTCACCCATTTTAACATGTCAATAGCCTACTGATGGAAAAATGTAATTGGTACAATTACAGAAAATTATTTCATGTCGACTGTGAATAACACTGTCAGGAAGAAGGGAGCTTTCTTGTTAGATGGTAGATTTTAAAGAACAAAACTGATTGAAGTAGAAAATGTTTCCTCTTAAGCAAACAACCTCCAGAATTGTAATCAGGCCTTTTAGGGCCACTTGTTTTAAAATTGCTTTTCATTTTTCTCCTTTATGCAGCCCACGGGTTCTTAATGGAGACTTAGATTTTAGTTTCTTTCTAGTACACACTTTGACCATAATTTTGCCCTTATGAATACAAAATTGGCCTATTTTATTATTCAAAGAGAGGTTAGGAAGGAAGATCGTTTAGCTGAAAGGGTTGTGGGAATTAGGAAAGAACAGAATTTCTGTGGCAGGGCTTCGGAACAAACAAGTTTTTCCTTCCTTTCCTAACTCCATCCCTTCGTGCTATAACTTGTGTTTATTTATCATGCCTCAGTTTCCTTATTTAGAAAGTGTTTGTAGCCGTCAGTCTGTCAAGGCTTGTCATGATTTGAGGTTGTGCATGCGAAGCAACTATCAAGGCCTGGTATTTAACAGTTGATTACTGTTACAGAAATTTTAGCCTCCACTTTCATCTGCGGTAGTTAGCTGGGTAGTTTGCATTTGTGTACTAACCTGTCATTAAAAGATTAACAAATAAATGAGTAAATTTCTGTTTATAATAGGAGATTGAATTAAAAATTATCAAACTCAAATTTTAAGTTTAAATGCAGCATTTTGTTCCCCCTAGTCCGCCATTTGAATTAATGCTGTATAGACTGACATACAGGAATGGTGTGGGGTTGGGAGGCCCTTTAATTCCTGCACAGGGGAGCTGAGCTGTCTTTCCCTCTGCTCTCAGGATCAGGTCATTCAGCTAATGAACACAATCTTCAGCAAGAAGAACTTTGAGTCACTCTCAGAAGCTTTCAGTGTGGCCTCTGCTGCTGCTGCATTGTCCCAGAATCGCTACCACATACCAGTGGTGGTTGTGCCCGAGGGCTCTGCTTCTGACACTCACGAACAGGCTATCCTGCGGGTATGACTCCCTGTCCAAGATTGCCATTCTCGTGCTATTTCTAGTCCAAGACTTTGGTATGTGGTCTAGAGCCAGTTATAGCCTCCATGAGGATATACCAATAAATTCACATGGGGACATGACCACAGGGGACCCAGGCACAAATGCTTCCGAAGCTACTAAAAAGAAGTAAGGCGCGGGGGAGGGGGTGACACACACCTTTCATGCCAGCATTCTGGAGGCAGAGTGAGTTTGAGGACAGCCAGGGCTACACAGAGAAACCTTGTCTCAGGAGAGGAAAAAAAAAAAAAAAAAACAGAAGAAGAGGGACTGAAGAGATGGCTCCATGATGAAGAGCACTTGCTGCTCTTGCAGAACTTGAGTTTATTTTCCAGTGCACACCTGGCAGCTCACACCCACCTCTAACTCCATTCCCCGGGGATTTGATGTCCTCTTCTAGCTTCTGTGAGCACCAGGCAATCATATGTTACACATATGTACATGCAGGCAAACATTCATAAAACAAAAATAAGTCTTTTAAAAGAATAAAAAGAAGAAAAAAATTTTTTCCTTGAAAATTATAAATAGCATGAGCTTCCAGTAAATCAAGAGCAAGAAAATTGCAGTCTGGTCCATCGCTCCAGGTGTAGAGTCTTGTTCCTAAAATCAATTTCTGGAGCTAGAGATATAGATCAGGGGTAGAGCATTTGTCTGGTGTAGAACTAAATCCCCAGTACCACAAAACCCTAAGTAAGTTAAATACAGTGAATTTCTGATATATCTGTAACTCCAAGGTAGAGAGGAATGGATTGGATCATTATCTTCACACATGAAAAAAAAAAGTAGTAATAAAATCTATTTCCCAGTGCCAAAACAGTCCAGATACGTTGTTTTGTTTAATTATTTTGTATATGTGGGTGTTTTGCCTTCATATATGTCTGTGAACTACTTGAATGCCTGGTGCCTGACTCCTCAGACACCTCAGAGGGGGTATCCGATCCCCTGGAACTTGAGTTTCAGATGGTTGTGAACCACCATGTGGGTGCTGTGGCTTGACCCAGGCCCTCTGGAAGAGCAGCCAGTGCTCTTAACCACTGAGCCATCTCTCCAGCCCCCAGACAGATTGTCTTAAGACAACTTTTAATTCCCACATAATTCTGATGCCTCTGGTTCATTGTTAATTATTTGCTTCTTCCTCCTTGTTGCTAATTGAGTAGCCCCCTCCACTCATGGTCCTCCTACACACAGCACTGAACATAGACTTTTGTGTTAAGCCTTCGTACAGAGCAAATGAACAAATCTTAAGTATACCTAGAAGTTTCATCTCAAATGAAGCACTTGCTGGTGTTTGTAAACCACTGATCAACTCAGATCTCTGTATTCAGCATTCTGTTTATGTCAGTGTTGGTCCATCTGTCCATAAGTTTGACTTTGATAACCTTCTGAGAAGGTGCCCCATATTCCAAAATTGTCTGTCTCCCTCAGTACAAATTGTGTCTTTCCAACTAAGAGCAGGCTGAGAAATTACCTCATTAACATAATTCTCTGAGTTAAGGTGGATTAAGAGAGCACAGTGGCGAAAGTATTGGCTCTGAAGCTGCATACATACATGTACACTCAGCACTGGAATGTTGAATCCCGGCCTTACCCTTTAACTGACCTGGTGACCTCTGGTGGTCCATAACCTCCTTAATTTCCCACATTCTCACTTTCTTTATCTATAAATTAGGGACTGTACTGTCTGCTTTAGACAGTTGGTAGGAGGCCTAGTATTTAGCATATGGTAGATTTTCAAAAATGATAGGTACTGACTGGGTCTATAAAAGTGGCTCATTGGATAAGAATATTTGCTCTGCAGGCATGAGGACCTAAGTTCGGGTTCCTGCACCTGCACACACACCTGCACATGCACATAGGCAGGCACACAGGCACAAACACAGTAAATAAACTACTCCCAATCCTTCCCCCGGCGTATTTTTCTTACTCATAATTTTGGTGGGGTTTTTTGTTTTAAGATACTATAGTAGAGTTGATAGGACAAGGGTTCAAAAACAAGAAACAATAAAATGAGTATGGTGATATACACCTATCATCTCAGCATTTGCCAGGCTCAGGAAGGAGTATTCCATGTTCCAGAGCAGACTGAGTTACATAGAAAGACACTGTCTCTTAAATAAAAAGAAAATACAGCTGTAAAAGCTAGTAACACAAGCCTGTAATCTTGGGAAGCTCTGACAGGAGGATCCCAAGTTCAAAGCTTGCCTGAGCCATGGATTTAAGACCAACCTGGGCAACTTAGAGTCTGGGGATCTAGCTCAGGGGTAGAGGTCTTGCCTAGCACACACAAGGCCCTGTACTGTGAAAATACATAATTAGAACCAGCCACACTCACACACAAATCATATATACAGTCTCTTGTTTCTCCTCTGAGGTGGTTCGACAGGCTCATCTGTAGGCTCATCCCCAGCTGTAACATTCTACAATCTGTCCTGTTGTCATAGTTGGTCTCTGGTAGGCAGCAGACCAAAGTCAGTGCACATCACTGAAGAAAGGTGCTTGTTCTGCAGAGCTGGTTTCCCGTAGATAAAGTGCCCCAGCGACCAAATTCCCACTGCCTTGGTCTTTGTTCTATTCACTTGTGGTTTGTTTTGTTTGACTTTCTAGTTACAAGTCAGCAATGTTTTGTCTCAGCCTCTGACTCAAGCTGCAGTTAAGCTGGAGCATGCTAAGTCGGTGGCTTCCAGAGCTGCTACTGTCCTGCAGAAGATGCCCTTCACACTAGCAGGGTAAGTCTGGGACATGAAGATCTGTGCAGGCCACCAAGCTCTGTGCTTTTGACAGTTAACTTTCAACCAGTGTAACTGATTCATAGGGGTTAGGCCAGCCTGGTCTACAAAGAGAATTCCAGGGCAGCCAGGGCTGTTAGCCAGAGAAACCCTGTCTCAGAAAACCAAAACAGATTCATAGGGTCATAAACCACATTTGCCTAATGTGATCAATCCTAGAGGAGAGTGTTAGAGATTTCTAAAACCAGCCATTTGCCCTTTCTAATTTTCTGTCCTTATTTCTCTAGTGGGATCTGTCTTGTCATTATGTTCCTACTTTTAAATTTAATATTATTTTTGTCTGATATATGAATACTACATTTTAGAAAAATCAGAAAACATAAGTCATTCATAATTCTACTACCTAAGAGATAACTACTGCCATATTTTATAGTCTTTTGGCTATGAGTCTAAGTACATTTTATTATTTAAATTCTTTTTAGATTAATTCATTTTATTCTGTGTGTATGTGTGCTTTACTGTGTGTGTATGTGTGTACTACATGTGTACCTGGTGCCCACAGAGGTCAGAAGAGGGCATCAGATCCCCTGGAACAGGAGTTACAGATGGTTGTGAGCTGCCATGTGGGTGCTGGGGATTGAACCCAGGTCCCCTGCATGAGCAACAAGTGCTCTCAACCACTAAGTCACCTCTTCAGCCCCATAGGTACATTTTAAAAACTGAATGAGAGTCTGTAACTGTGTGTCATGAACAGTTGCCCAGTGGGATTAAATATTTGTCTCCAATAATTTTAATGACTATTCTTGATATGTGTATTTCTCAAAAATTAAGTCTTGGTTTCTATATAAAACCTTATTTAGTATCAGTGAGTTACTGCCATATAGAGGTTGGAATATTGGAGAGAATGTATTTTTTCCACAGTGGTCAAGGATTCTCCACTAGACATCAAATCATCAAGTGAACTTGTGTTGCTAAAGTTTTCCTGCCTGGCCCACAGTCAGGACAAATCTCTCTCACCTGCCAGTCCCACAGCCTCAGACCCAACCAAGTAAACACAGAGACTTATATTGCTTACAAACTGTATGGCCATGGCAGGCTTCTTGCTAACTGTTCTTACAGCTTAAATTAATCCATTTCTATAAATCTATACCTTGCCACGTGGCTCGTGGCTTACCGGCATCTTCACATGCTGTTTGTCATCTTGGCGGCTGGCAGTGTCTCTCTGACTCAGCCTTCCACTTCCCAGCTTTATTCTCCTCCTTGTCCTGCCTATACTTCCTGCCTGGCCACTGGCCAATCAGTGATTTATTTATTGACCAATCAGCAACACACTTGACATACAGAACATCCCACAGCAAACTTGTCTCTAGAGGAGACAGTCTGGTGCAACAGTAAAAGTCATTGGAATCTTTCTACATGATTATAGGGACTCTCCACCTTTTTTCTGTTTGAAATAGAGGATTATTAATTTGTAAAATAAAAATAACATGCTTTTTGATAAATTCAAAAACAGAATATCAAAAAATTACACACAGCTCGACTCCCCTCCACCAACATCTTTGAACATTTAGACTATTTTCTTGAGTAGTTTTGTTGATCAGCCTAACTGAGGCTCAGTGGTAGAGCACTGTGCGGCATGCCCTGGGTGCTAGATTCTGCCCCCACACGGAGAAAATGAATGACCACAGAGTGATTGGAGTCAGACTGGCAGACCATTCTTCCATTATAGGAAGGCACTACAGGCTGGACTTTGAGGCCCAGGAGGGAAGCAAAGAACACTGTACACTAGGAGATGGGTTATCCTGGATGGCTTTTACATTTCCACACTCACTTGTGGCTGAGCTGGAGGCTGCTCAGTGGTACAGGAAGGCAGCAAGGAGGGGAGTGGCCCTGGACTGTAGCAAGGAGATACTTTGTAGCCAATGTGATACATTTAGGACTTCTCCTGAGTTCTTGCTAACTTTGCTGTCATTCCCAGCAGGGATGTTTTTGAACTCAACTTCAAGAACGTGAAACTGTCCAGTGGCTACTATGACTTCTCCGTGCGAGTTGACGGTGACAGCCGTTACATGGCAAACACTGTAGAGGTAGGTGCTTTTCTCGTCGTCCTTATTGCCGCATTCGTGTATCCGGTGCCTCAGTTATCTGGTGTATAGTGACGTCTTTTGTGCCCAGGCTAAGGTGACCTTGACCTTTTGAACCTCCCGCCTCTGCCTCTGTTCTGGGATTTTAAGTGAGGGCCACACACTGTTTCGATTTTCTTTCTTTCATTCCACCTACATTTATTTATTGGAATTCTACTGTAAGAAAAAGAACCTGCCTTTCCCCTCCATTTATTTGTACAATGTAGTTTATATAGTGGGCTTGTAGTGTGTTACGGATGTTTATTTGACCATATGTTAGGATCTTGCAGTCACTGATTTTGATTTCCTGCCATCCTAATTTTGCCTTTGAAGATATGCTAGACACCTTTGACATTTTCTTTTAATAAAAAGAATAGGCAGCCAGAAGGTTTGACCTTTTCAAAAGCAGGCCCTCCTTACCGGTTAGATCTTGGTTTGAAGTTTGGCAGAAAGGAAGATGTTTTCTGGAACTCCAGTCACTGCCTCATGTCTGACCTTTGGGGCACGAGACAGCTGATCTGATCGACTCAGGAGGACATAGTTTGGGTAGAAATTAATTTACTGTGTATCTTGAACTTTTCAATTCCAGATTCTTTTTCATCAGTTTCCTTTAAGAGACCTTATTTGCAGCATAACACATTATAGAGAGAATTCTTACTTTCCTCGCAGCCTCGGCTTTCTCAGTCTGTGTCTTGGAAATGGCTTTCTAGCTCCATGGCTAGGTCACACTTGAGGCTCTTCCTGTCCTTCGTTTTCATTTCTAGTCATTCTCCAGCACCTGCACATCCCACTCTGATGTCTCACCAGCATCAGCATTACCCATTGTTATGATATGGTGTGTTGTAGTGCCATGTGATGTTTTCTCTGATGCGTTGTGAAGTTGAGCACTGTCCTCGTGGTCATTGGGCAGCTCTGTTTCCTCCGTATGAATCGTCCGTCTGTTGCTGGTTGTTTATTAGCCTTCTTCCCTTACTGGCTTTCAAGAGTAGTGTATGTTCTAGACACTAAGCCTTAGTTGTGAGCTTCAGGTTTCTTCTCAGAATTATTTTATGGCCTCTTGATGCATGCATATTTTAAAGCTTTTTTCTAGATTATGGGGTGGGATTTTTTTTTGTAGTGTGTGTTTGGTTCCTGCACATGTGTACACTGTATGCAGGTGTGCTCACATGTATGTGTATGTATAGAGACCAGAAGTCCACATTAAGTGTCTTTATCACTCTCCATCTCTGTCATTTAAGGCAGTGTCTCTCACTGAATCTGGAGCTTGGCTTTTTGGCTGGCTGGCTGGCTGCCTGACTGTCTACTAGGTTTCCCAGAATCCACCTGTCTCTGCATGTGTGTGCGTGTGACACACACACACACACACACACACACACACACACACACACACACACACACACACCCAGTGCTGGTACACAGATCCGTACCTCCGTACCAGGCTCTTATCTGGGGACTGTGAGGAGTCAGACTCAGGTCCTCCTGCTTACTGTGCTGAGGCTCTTCCCAGTGAGCCATCTCCCTAGTCCTGCTTTTTAGATCTTTTAAAGTCGTAAGGCTGGCAAAATGGTGGAGTGATGGAAGAAGCCAATCAATTCCCACAAGTTGTCTTGTGATCTCCACATATTTGCCATGGCATGCACATCCATACTCATACACACACACAAATAAATAAATGTAATTAGTTGGGGTTTTTTTTTTTTTTGGTTTTTTGGTTTTCTCTCTCTTTTTGGTTTTTCGAGACAGGGTTTCTTTGTGTAGCTTTGGTACCTGTCCTGGATCTCACTCTGTAGACCAGGCTGGCCTTGAACTCACAGAGATCCGCCTGGCTCTGCCTCCCAAGTGCTGGGATTAAAAGCGTGAGTCACCGCTGCCCAGCATAATTAGTTTTTTGTTGTTGTTGTTGTTGTTTTTTAAGAAAAATTCTTATAGTACCTCAAAGAAAAAAAAAAGTCCTCTAATGTTTTCTTCCAGCAGTATTCAGGGCACTTTTCTCCTGATAGCTTCAATATACTTTAATTTTGTTCTTGCTCTAGTATTTATATCCTCTTGGTAATTGCACCAAGCACATTATATCACCATTGTTTTCTACATGTGTTGCCTTTTCTTTGGGCTAGGAACTTCATGTGGTAGAAGCCAAATCTTAATCAGCCAGTGTTTAGTTTCTATCTTAGACCACTTAGAAGAAGAAAAGGAATGTTTTTCCTTCTAGGGTGCTTAGAAAAGGCTGCTGTGCAGTAATCTGCAAAGGTGAGCCTTGGTGTGTGCACTCTCGTGCTCTCTCTCTGTGACTTTATTGAGATGTAACTTAATCTCATGAAATTTACTCATTGAAAGTATGTAATTAGATATTCTTGGTATATTTAGGGTTGTTTAACTATAACCATCACTCCTGCCTATTCTGGAACACTTATTATTCTAAAAGTCAGACTTCTTCATTAGCAGCTGCTCTCCTTCTCCCCTGCCACAGCCCCAGCATCCACACATTCTCCTGTCTCTCCTGCTTCAGCCCGGCATCCACACATGACTTTTTCTGTGGTCGGCCTCTTCAGGATGCTCATATGGTTGCAATCACACATTATGTTAACTTCTGCCTTTGGATTCTTTCTCACTTAGTGCAGTATTTTTAGAATTATCTGTGATTTAGCATGTTTAAGTACTTCATTTATTTCTGTGTCTGACAAACATGTTGTTTATTTATATTTGATACTTGTACTTTATACTGTGTTTGTGCATGTTAGGGATCATCGAGTCCAGGGCCTCACATATGCTGAGCCTGGGTATTTCCACTTTTTGGCTCTTATAAATAATGCTGCTGTAAACACTCATGTGTAAGTTTCTGTTGAAACATTTGTTCTCTGTTTGTTTAGGAATAGAACTGCTAGGTTACATGGTAGCTCCATGCCTAACTTGGAGGATCAGAGCAGGCGCACTATGTCCCATTCCATCCAGCTTTGGTTGAAGGTTGTAGTTTCTCTGCATCCTTGCCATCATTTTTTTGTTCAGTTTGGTTTGGTTTGTTTTTTTGAGGCAGGATTTCTCTGTGTAGCCCTAGCTGTCCTGGAACTCACTCTGTAGACCAGGCTGGCCTTGAACTCACAGCTCACAGAGACCCACCTGCCTCTGCCTCCTGAGTGCTAGAATTAAAGGCATGTACCACCATTGCCGGCTGTATTTGTATATCTTCCTGGAAGAAATGTCTATGTAGATCCTTTGCTTATTGATTTAAGACAAAAAAAAAAAAAAAACCTTTAAGCCAGGTGTGCTGACTTATGCTGCTCAGGAGGTAGAGGCAGGAGGATCATGACTTCAAAGCTAGCCTGGGCTACCTAATGAGACTCTATAAGGGATTTTGTCTTTATTTCCCACCCTCTTTGTTTCAAAGATTGTTTTTATGTATATTAGTGTTTTGCCTGCATTTAGCTAAGTGCACCAAGTATGTCTGGTACCCACGGAGTCCAGACGAGGGCATTGGATCCCCAGAAACTGGAGCTAGGGATGGTTGTCAGTGAGTGAGATGTAGGTGCTAGTAATCAAGCCCAGGTGCTCTGCAAGAGCTGGGGCTCTTAAGTGCAGAGCCTTCTCTCCAGTCCCCACCTCCACCTCAGTACCGCTTATTTCCATTTGTTTCTCTTTTAAATGTTTGATTTAGAAGAGTTCTTTATAGATCTTTGCCTATAATTCCCTTCTCAGATGCATGATTTGCAGATATTTTCTCCCAGTCTTTAAGCTGTCTTCATATTTTCTTGATACTAGCTTTTTAAATGCAAAATATTTTAATTTATTTATCTATGTTCTATTTTGTTACTTTTGATTTAGATACTGTTAAAGAAATAATTTCTTAAATTAAGATCATAGAAATGTTTCTTAATATGAGTTTTATAATTCCAGAAGTTTTTAAACTGAGGTCATGGATCTCTTTTGTGCATGCCTAACCTCTTTTCTCTGGATATGGACACCCAGATGTCCAGCACTGTTGTGTCAGACTATTCTTTGCCCATTGAATTTTCTTGACATTCTCAGAACTCAATTGGCCATAAACTTAAGGGTTAATTTTTGGACCCAAAATTCATCCTATTGATCTGTTTTTGTTTGTATACCTGTACTACCCTATGGGTTATTATAACAGCTTGGCTTCTTGTAATGTCAGGTCTGGTGTTTGTCCAAGTGTTTTTGTAGTTGTTGGAAAAACTGAGCACAAAATAGCAGAATTGTCTAATAGCTGTTCATGCAGCAATCGTCAGCCCTTCATCCCTTATTGAGGCCATTTATTTGTCCTTCTGCTTCCCAGGGATGGCATAAGCAGGAAAAAACTTCTCTCCCACTTTATCACGTGGGAACTTGGTGTGTGTCCATTTGTATGTGTGTACATGTGCTTTGATTTCTTTTGCTATATGTGCAGCTTGACTGTGTAATTTCAGTAATAGTCATATTTAAAGCCTCAGAGCAGGTCAGCAAGTCCTGTTTTCCCCCCTTTAGAGATGCCGACATTGGTCAGCATGCATTAGTGGTGGTTTTGTGTAGAAGTTTGTAATAGCACCATTGACATTGGACTGGCTGTCAGGGGAAGCATGGGCTTTGGAAGCTCTCATTAGCATTAATTGCCCCTAATGCACTATCATTTTTGACAGTAATAAGCCAAACGGGAAGTTCCTACTCTCAGCAGAAAGACCACATTTCCTGGTGTTGGAACATTTGGAGAGATGTATGTGGTATACAGTGCAAACAACCAAAGTTTGCTCCTGTGTAAAGTGGGCCCAGCTGCATTACAGTGGCACACAGCCCCTTTCCTGTTTGAGACTGACCCCACGGCTCTGGTTTGAAGGGAGAGCTAACCAACAGGGACCCTACACCAAACACTTAAAGCAAGCCTGAGAAAGCTATGGTCTTTATTGTACAGTTTGCTGTAAAAGAATGGCATGAAATGCTTTTCTTTTGAGTGTTTCCAGAGTTTCATTTGTAGTGAGATTTTAGAAGCAAAAAGATTTGTTTTAAACTGCTCTCTGCTCGCTAACAACCCTGCAGTGTTTCTGTGAAGCAAGGGAGCTTGTTATTTGGCAACTTTCTAAAATAGGAAAACAAACCAAAATTACTCAAGTTCACTAGTTTGCCCTTGCGTGCATTCCATGTGTCCATATAGTCTGGGAATGCTCGTGGTGGCTCCTCCAAATAGACGTTCAGTGGGATCTCAATGAGCAGGCGTTGATGGCTATGTTACTACTCATGGTTAAGAAATGTGGTGACTTCCTTATTGCTATGTTCTGGATACTCTGAAGAGCCTTGTATGATCCTTAAACATCCATTTATCTGTCTGCTGAGAGTAAAATAATTGTTTTGAATAGATTTATTGGGTGATGCTTTATTTTTCAGTTTACCCTTTGACAATTTCATATATGTATATACTGCATTCTTAGTACGTTTGCCCCCCACCCTCTTAGTCCCCTCCCATCCTTGTCAACTCTTCCCTACAAGTCTGTCCCCCTTCCATTTTCATGTCTTTTTGTTTTGTTTCTGTTTCTGCTTGTTTTGAGAGAGAGAAACAACAGGAAGTTGGGTGGGTAGGGAGGTGGAGAGGATCTGGGAAGAGTTGGGAGAAGGGAAAAAATATGATCAAAATTTTGGGAAATTTTTTTATTTTAAATTTAAAAATAATGTGTATAGAGCTGGACGGTGGTGGTGCATGCTTTTAATCCATCACTCAGGAGGCAGAGACAGGTGGATCTCTGAGTTCAAGGCCAGCCTGGTCTACAGAGCAAGTTCAGGACAACCAGGGCTACACAGAGAAACCCTGTGTTGGAAAAACAAAAACAAACAAAAAGACTGTATATGACCCACATTGTCCAGATTATCCTAGTATTTTAAACACAGGAGTTACATATACATGTGAAATATGTGCTTGTTTTTGAAGTACAGAAAAATTCGAAAATGAATGAGTCTTACTCCCTTCCCCATTCTCTCAATTCAGTCCTTCTTAAGAAAACTATCACTAATAGTTTCTTGGATGCTAAGAAAAAGTAAAAGATGAAGCTGGAGACATGGCTCAGTGGTTAAGAGTACCTGCTTCTCTTCCAGAAGACCTGAGTTCAGTTCCCAGCACCCACATAAGACAGTTCACAGCTGCCTGTAACTCCAGCTCCAGGGAATCTGATGTCTCTGTCCTCCACAGACACCTGTACTCATGTGTACACACCCACATTCAGACACATACACATAATTTAAAATGATAAAAATAAATCTTTTTATTTGGTTGGTTAGTTTTTGTTTTTATTTTTTGTTTTTTGTTTTTTTTGGGTTTTTTTTTTTTTTTTTTTTTTTTTTGAGCTGAGGGTCGAACCCAGGGCCTTGGGCTTGCTAGGCAAGCGCTCTACCACTGAGCTAAATCCCCAACCCTTGTTTTGTTTTTTGAAACAGGGTTTCTTTATGTAGCCCTGGCTGTCCTGGAACTCACTCTATAGGTTAGGCTGTCCTCAAACTCACCACCTGGCAAAATAACTTTTTTAAAAAGTAATAGTTGAGGTGGGGAACAACTAAACATGTTCTTTTTTATGGGCAGTGGAGGGATCATTTGATAAAAAGAGGTATATTATTTGCCGCAAGATGGTGTCATATGCCTTTAATCCCAGCACTCGGGAAGCAGAGGCAGGCGGATCTCAGAGTTGGAGGCCAGCCTGGTCTACAGAGCGAGTTCCCAGACAGCCAGGGCTGTTACACAGAGAAACCTTGTTTTGAAGAAATTGCCAAGAACTTCTCTGGGCCTGACTGCATATAGGAAAGCTTGCTCTAGTTCTGAACCCTGTGAGCGGTGAGGTATGTGGAGGCTTTTGGTTCTTTCCATGGCTTGCCTGTTCCAGCTGATGGCCTGCGTCTCCTTCCTCTGCTGCCATAACTACCCAGCCTAGCTCATTGCCAGGCAGTGATGCCAGATACAGTTCTACCAGTAAATGGCTGTGTATACACAAGAAGAGGTAATGTCCCACAGCTTCTGATAAATCTTTCCCATTCAGAAGTTTTCTTAAGAAAAGAGGAGACTCTATTCAGCCAGATAACTGAGGTTGCTGTCACACAACAGTTTTTATTGAAGCAGGAGAGAAGACTACTAAGAAGGATTACTTTGGTTTTTCCTTTTTCGGCTTTAGTTTGCTGCTGTCATACCTTGATGTGGCATCATCGTGGAAAATGTCAAGGTTCTTCTTTCGTTATTTGCGCAGACCACTCTCTATTGCTTGACCCTGACACTTAGATGAAACCGCTGGACTTGCCTAGGATTTCTCTGAGTTACACTCAAAGCCTGTCATGTTTGGAAGGCTCACAGATACGTTTGCACATAAATGTGCTTTGGGTTTGCATATTTTACACATTCAGACTTAGATTTTTAACTGGAATATCTCCAATGAATAGACTTTTTAACGTGTTTTCTCTCTCTTTTGGATATTTACATTTATTTTGACCTAATTTTAAATTTTCTTATTTCCTGGCATTAGCTAGCTCCTCTTTTTGGAAATGTTTATAAAGGAAGAGCCAGTATGTATGGTCTGGCTTATACTTAGAACAGACTCCAGATCTCTCTGACTTAAAACAACCAAGGTTTCTTTTTTGCCTATGACAGGTGTCTTTAGAGAGTTAGTTGGACACCCTGCTTCATTTCATCCTTACTCAGGAAGCTTGCCTAAAGGAGCAAGCCTGTGTCTGGACATTGTCTGTGTCCATGATTCTTAAGGCTTCCACAAAGAGACAATACAGTCCACTTCTGCTCACATTTCATTGGTCAGAGTAAACCATGTGCCCTCTTAGACTCCAAAGGTGACAGAAGCCATAGTGTGCTGACACATGTACAGTAGAGAATGGGAACTGCTTGATGAACAGTATGGAGAGCTACCATGGCCTCTTCTATCTTTGTGGAAAGGGTTACTCCGTGGCACAGATGAAGTATTGATAGGAGGCCAGAGGCCAATGGTGAGGAAGCTCAGCGCGTGGATTTTTAGTGCCTGAGCATGATGATTTCCTCATCTGAAACAGCACTACCTCCCTGTTGTGCAGATTGACGTGGCTTTGCAAAGCCAGTGCCTTTCGCTGAGTAAATACTAAATCTTTGCTGTTGGTAGTACTTACTAGCATGAATTATTTAAACATTACTGTGTAAGGAATTCTCCCTTATTAATTAATTTATTTGTTTTTTTTCCATGATAGGGTTTCTCCATGTAGCCCTGGCTGTCCTAGAACTGTATAGACTAGGCTGGCCTTGAACTCACAGAGATCCGCCTGCCTCCCCCCCCCCCCCCCCCCCCCCAGTGCTAGGATTAAAGGCATGTGCCACCAACCACCCATTTTTTATGCTAAAGGACACATTTTAAAAGATTTTTTTTTTTTTAATCCTTACTCCCTTTTTACTCCTTTTAAAATATATCCCAAAGCCAGAGAAGTGAGGTAGACACAGTAGCCAAGGTCTCACCTTTTAGGGCTCAGGATGGGAGTGGTGAGAAATGCCATCTGGCCTGGTAGGTTGCTTGTACTATGGTCTTGAAGACTTTTATCCTAGAATTCTTTTCCTGCCTTTATTCACTCAGCTGGTAGAGCACTTGCCATTTTTGCAGAAAACCCTAGCCTCAGTCCACATTAAACCAAATGTGGTGGCGTACCCTTCTACTTCAGGCATTTAGGAGGTGGAAGCAGAAAGGTCACAAGTGCAAGGTCATCCTTGACTACACAGTTCAAGGCTAGCCCAGGCCACATGAAACTGTCTTAAAAAGAAAGAAAGGAAGAAGAAAATGTTGGTCTGTGGATATAACTCAGTGGTGGTCCTTACCTACCAATGCAGGAGATCCTGGATTCCATCACACGCACATGCATGCACCCATGCACCCACCCACACTCACATACAGACTTTGGATGTACGTAGTAGCTCCTCTCATACCCACCAGTTGACTTGATGAATGTCTTCTATGTTTTGCTGTAGCTTAGAGTCAAGATTTCCACTGAAGTTGGCATCACAAATGTTGACCTTTCTACTGTGGATAAGGATCAGAGCATTGCACCCAAAACTACCCGGTAAGTGGGATGCCACATAGGCACTGGGGAGCCTCAGGATTCAGAGCTGGAAAGAACAAAACTAGGCCCTGTGCCCCTCCAGGCAGCATTTCCTTGGAGGCAGTGACCCCACCCTATCCTAAATTCAAGAGACTGCAATTCCAGTGGTATTGCTCTATTCTGGTGAACATGTAAGCAGACTTGGAGATTGTTTGTACTAGTGTTTAGTTCATGAGCCAGCTCTTGTTACCTCAGACTCTAAATCTGGAGTCCACTGTGTCATTCACATTATTTAGTTCAAATAACATTTGTTTCTAGTAAGGAGTCAGTCTCAAAAAAGCAAACAGTGGATTCATTTGTATTTTACTGCCATCCTATCATCAGATTCCTGAATTAGTTCTTGGTATGGCCTCATGGAAACTGTGGCCAATGGAAAAAACTTGGAAAAGTTTAGACCTTGCTCTGAGACTCCCGTTTCCCTTCCGTACCCACAGAAAGCACCACTAATGGGCCACAGTGCTTGCCCCTGCTGAACCGAGGCATAGCTCAGGGTCCTTTTTTTTCTTTTGGTTTTTGTTTTTTTAATGCAACCTCCTAGGTAACCATTAACGTTTTTTAGCCTAGGCATGTGTGTCGTGTCATCTTGTGCCATGCTAATCTCTCTCTCTCTGTGTATGTGACCAGTTTTTAGTACACATGGTGCCGAAGTGAGCACTAGCCGTTAACATTTGATCAGAGTTGGCTGGGATGCCTGCTGAAGACCATTTGTCGGCATCACCTAGATCCCGATTTGGGGGAAGGAGTGGGGAGGAGCTTGTCTATATCTCAGATGTGGTTCAGATCTCAGCTTCACTTCCATGGAGTGGCTATAGAGGCAGATAGATGAACCCTGAAGCTATTTTGAAGGCAGGGAATGCTTTAAGCCAGACTCACTCCTTGTAAGTCATGTAGAGCTGGACTTTCTGTTCCTTACTTGGTTGTTGCCATAGTGACAGTGGAGATACGAGCACTATTTGAGAATGCACTAAAATAATGTCTGTAAGGGTGGTTTGCAAAGTTAATTCTCTGTGGAGTTGGTTTTGATGAGTAAATATAAACCGAGAGTATAAAACAAAGCCAGGTGTGAGCTCTGGACCCGTTTGGCTTGTTGCTCCCTTGGCTGTCTTTCTCTTCAGTCCCAGGGGATAGCTATGGACAAAACAGCTTTCCTCATCAAGTAAGTCTACCTTTCAAGAAAATGACTTTTTAAAACCCAATTTCATGGCAGAAAAATAAATTGAAACAGCCCAGGAAACAAATCATAAAATAGAGAGAGCTCAACATCCCTTTCTTTCCTTTGCTCACACCCCCGCCCTGCTCATCTATGAACCTCACTGCTGCTGGCATCAATCATGGCTGTCCCTCTGCATCCTGCCAGCCCTGCAGCGGTGCACACAGGCTCCTGCACCTGAGCTGGGCCAGTTGAGAGCATGGATTGTTGAAGGAAGGCCTGGAGGTGCACATTCTCACAGAGCATTTTCCCCAGACCCCGATTAAAGTTTTCTCTGCTTTTCTCAGTCCTGGCCTGAAGCTGAGATTGTAGTTTAGTGGTCTGGTCTAACTTTCTGGTCTACCTTGTGAGTTCTAGCTCCAGCACCATAAAAAGGAAACGATAAGAAAACACCTCTTCACTCCGGCTTTATTGATCGACTTTGCCTCTAGGCCACAGATATTTCTGTACATTCCATGGAAGTGGTAAAATGAGACAGGGACAGTTGGGCAATAAATGCCTGTACTTAGACAGGGAGACCCCATCAGAAGTCTGACTATATAATATCTCTTTCAGGGTGACCTACCCAGCCAAAGCCAAGGGTACCTTCATCGCGGACAGCCATCAGAACTTCGCCCTGTTCTTCCAGTTGGTAGACGTGAACACTGGTGCAGAGCTCACCCCTCACCAGGTCAGGAAGAGGCCCCTGCTGTTCTTCTGTCCAGAAATCAAATGTCACCAGAACAGTGATACTCTGACACAGATGCTAGCAAATACTACATTCCTGCTTTCAGAACCTGACTGCACCCTGACAATCTCTCAGCTTGTCTCACGTGACACACAACTCCCTTTGTAGTGATTGTGACCCATTAACTAAAGTAAACATGCCTTTAAAAAAAAGAAAGAAAGAAAGAAAGATTAGCCGAATTCAGTGGCTCAGACCTATAATCATTACTAGCAGCTTGGGTTAGCTGAGGCAGGAGGATAAGTTCAAGGCTTTCCTAGGCCATCAAGTGAGTTCAAGACAAGCCTGGCAGATTCGTGAGACAGTTTTAAAATAAAAGGCAGAAAAGGGCCGGGATTGAGCCTAGTGATAGAGCACTAAGTCCCAAAAGAGTGGGGGTGGAGACTGGGGAGAGAAGCGGGGTCTAGCTCCTTGCACTTACACATGGCTGTTAAACTGTCTGTAACTCCAGTTCCAGAAGCTCCAGCACCCCCTTCAAGTCTCCACAGCTACAGGCACTCAGGTGGTTTGCTTTCTTAGTCACAGGCAAAACACTTAAATACAGAAAATGAAATAAATTTTAAAAAGTGTTATTTACAAGATGTATTTAAGGCAGATTAACACTTGAGAGGGTTTTAAAAAAGTAATACTTGGGGCTGGAGAGATGGCTCAGCGGTTAAGAGCACCGGCTGTTCTTCCAGAGGTCCTGAGTTCAATTCCCAGCAACCACATGGTGGCTCACAACCATCTATAATGAGATCTGGTGCCCTCTTCTGGCCTGCGATCGTACACGCAGGCAGAACATTGTATACATAATTGATAAATAAATCTTTAAAAAAAAAAAAAAAAAAAATGTAATACTTTGGCCGGGCGGTGGTGGCGCACGCCTTTAATCCCAGCACTCGGGAGGCAGAGCCAGGCGGATCTCTGTGAGTTCAAGGCCAGCCTGGTCTCCAAAGCGAGTTCCAGGAAAGGCGCAAAGCTACACAGAGAAACCCTGTCTCGAAAAACCAAAAAAAAAAAAAAAATCATAATACTTTGAAACAATTTTTTTTGGGGGGAGGGGGTTTTGTTTGTTTCCAAGACAGAATTTCTCTGTATATCCCTGGCTGTCGTGGAACTGAGATCCGCCTGCCTTTGTTTCCCAAATGTTGGGATCAAACACGTATGCCACCACTGTCTGTCTTGAAACAATTTTGAAAAAATGGAAAACTTAGTCAAAAAAGAAAAAAAAAAAAAAAACTCTTTTTGTTCTTGCCAAAGTAAATTTTCTATTGTGGGACTCTGAAAAATACCTTTTCAAATTTATGCCTATTTTACATTATAAAAACAGAACTCATTATGTATTTTAATTTATTTTCTTTTAAGTTTTATATGTATAAGTATTTTGCCTTCATGTTTGTTTGTACACTGCATGTGCCTGATGCCTGTGGAGGCTAGAAGAGAGCATCAGATTGCCTAAAACAATGATTACAGACCAATGTAAGCCCCCATGTGCATGTAACCATTGAGCCATCCCTTCATATTGTTTAAGTACTTCTAATTTTATTTGTAATCCCGGAACTTGGTCATTCCACTCCCCTCTTCTATGTATGTACGGATGTGTGGGTGTGGGTGTGTGTGCTCACATGTGTATGCAGGTACATGTGGAGGCTCAAGATTGGGGTTGAGTGTCTTCCTCTATTACTCTCCACTTGATATATTGAGGCAGGGTCTCTCACCAAACCTAGAGCTCGCTGCTTCAGCTGCTTTGCCTAGCTGGCTCACTCTAGGAATTTCCTGCTAGGATTACAGGTAGATCGCCATGCCCGTCTGGCTTTCCCGAGGGTTCCGGGGATCTGAATTCCAATCCTCTTGCTTTCGCATCAACGCTTTACCCATCTTTCCAACCCCGTCTTCCCGTTGGTAAATATTGGCTTTTCTCCCATATTCTGTTAGCTCTGCTGCATCCATGTGGTGGTAGAGGTTGTTCTTCCACTATGGTGTACGAAGCCTTGTTAAAGACCATGTACTTTTAGCGGGGTAGTAGTAGCACATGCCTTTAATCCCAGCACTTGGGATGCAGAAGCAGATGGATCTCTGTGAGTTCTAAAACAGCCAGAGCTACATAGAGAAAAACCAAAAACTTGTTTTGAAAAACCAAAACCAAAAAAGTATGTTTTTTAATGTAAAAAATTTCACAGTGCTTAGAATTTAAACTCAGGACTTAGAGGAGGGACAGTGAGCTGGCTCAGTGGGTAGAGGCTCTTGTACATCAGCCTGTCAAGTTGAGGTCCATCCCAGAACTCATGTAAATCTGGAAGAAAAATGACTGCACAAAGTTGACCTCTGACTCCCAAACACATGGTGCCGTGCATCCCCACTCATATATCATTCTCCCTCACAACAAAGAAGATTTTTAAAAAGAGCTTAAAAGAAAAACCATTTCCCCAGGAATCCCCTTGTCCTCCCCAGCTTCCTGTCTCTCTTGTCCCTCTCAGTCCGCAAGAGCTGTTCTTGACTCTGTCACATACATGGTTATTGTGCAGAGGGAACTTAGGTAAATATTTTGAGTGCTGAAAACCATGGTCAAAATGGGCTTTGTTTGGTGCACTGCACTGATAGGTTAGCAAGAACTGGTGGACCACCGAAGTGGGTTTACCTGCAGACCCTGTTTCTTGTGGCTGTAGGTGCTGTACCTGTGCCCTGGGGCCACTGTCCTGGCTGTTGTTTGTCCCCTTCTTCACCCCCAAACTCCAGGCAGCTTAGCCAGGGCCTGTGCCCATACTGACTTAAGAACTTTAGCCTCTCCTGCTGAGTAGTGGTGGTGCATACCTTTAATCTCTGGACTTGGGGGGCAGAGGCAGGCTGATCTTTGAGTTCTAGGCTAGCCTGATTTACTTAGCAAGTTCCAGGATAGCCAGGGCTACACAGAGAAACCCTGTCTTGAAAAAAACCAAAAAAGAAAAGAACCTCAACCTGTCAGCATTTCCTAGTTTTCTCCTAGAAGGACATTTGCCAACCACATAGCACCAGGAAGAAAATGAAGAGAAATCAGAAGACTAAATTGGGAGGGCTAGGAGTAGGGCAAGAAAATGTATGAAAACGAGGCTGTGTCTGGATTTTCCCAGGTTCTGTCTATGTCTGTGATTCAGTGGCCTCTCCCATAGATTTGACATCTTGAAGATGAGTGTGGCAGTATGGGTGGAAGGCAGGCATCCTCTGCCCACCCTGGACAAGGCTGGTTGCTGTAGTCAGGATGCTCTGCACTGTGGCCTCCCCTTCCTTCAATAATCTGATGTTGGAATCAAAGATGAGATTTCTGCTTTGTGCCTAGGTCCAGGTCTCGCTGTGTCACTATGACAACTCGTTTAATGCTCTTGCCTTAAAACCTGTAAATTGTAGCCAACCACTTGTCTCGTTGAATTCTTTGTCTTGAAGCCCTTGAAAGGAAAGCCTTGCGTGGATATTAAATTTTGGGGCAGTTCTAACAAATGTTGGCACAAGACCCTAGTTTCTTGTACCCTAACTGATGAAACCCAGACCCACTGTGCTAAGGCTGGGTAGCTGCCGTTGCTTAGTTGTTGGGTGACTCTTACTCCCCAGCACGGCACTACATGCTTTGCATACATTACTACAAATCTTTTTCACATGAATGCAACTCCAAGAAGTTGATGTTTTTGCCTTAAAGATAGAGAAGTCAGGGCACAGGAAGGTTAAGTAATTTACTCAGCTCCTAAGTAATGGGGCCATGTCACTGTCTTCAGGGCCAGGCTCTGTGACGCCAGGCTGCTCCGTTCCATTAGAACTCTGCCTCGTTATCGACAGCAGAGCATCCACTGCTGCATCTTGAACTGGAAACACTAGGAAATTCTAGTGAGCCTCTTGCGGTGCCGCCTCGTCTGCCTGCTCTTCACCCTCTGCTGAAGAAGTTAATTGGGCAGCAAAGTGGCAGGAAGAGACTGCATCAGCCGAGGGCACATGATCACAAACCGGGCCTTCAGCCTCCCGGTCTCAGAGCACTGGCTGGACTCCTAAGTTCAGTCTCTCTCCTTGTTCAAGCAAAAAGTTGTCTCCGGGGTAGGAACTAGGGTGGGATGGCTGCTCCCCCGTCTCAGGAGCAGGTCAGAGCTCTCACTATGACAGAAGAGTAGCTCTCTCTGTTCCTGGTTGATTCAATGTTGGGCCCACTGGGAGTTCTGAGATGGTCAGATGGAAGGTGGTGGTCTTCTTCTCTCTAGACATTTGTTCGACTTCATAACCAGAAGACTGGCCAGGAAGTGGTGTTTGTTGCGGAGCCGGATAACAAGAATGTGTATAAGTTTGAACTGGATACCTCTGAAAGAAAGATTGAGTTTGACTCTGCCTCTGGCACCTACACACTCTACTTAATCATCGGAGATGCCACTTTGAAGAACCCAATCCTCTGGAACGTGGTATGTGTGTGATAGGTGTGGAGGTGAGGGTTGCTGTGAGGCCCTGTGTTCTGCTGTACAGAGGGTCATACACTGTGGCTTAGCATCTAGTGCATGCTTAATAAGTATTGATCAAATGAATGAAATATACACGTTCCATGAACTTCTATAATATTCTATTGGAAAGAGGTTTTCTTATTACATCAAGGCACTGTGGAGGATACATAAATGAAGAAATATGGTCTTGGCCTTTGAGATCTGTTATAGCCTGGGGAAGAAGAGGGCAGTGAGTGATGAATTGTAGATGAGCAGAATGCTAATAAATAATGTCCAGGAGTTACAGATTATATTACAGGTTACACGGCTCTGCCCTCACGGGCCTTGCTGTTTTGATAGTTCTGAAGACAGAAACATTGTAAGACAGCTTTGGAGCAAGGAATTGAGGCATCACAGGGCTTCCTGGAATAGCATCTGGGAGCACACGTTGAGGAGCAGCTTCCAGAGAAACTTGGTGTGCTCTCAGGGAGATGATGAAGACTTCTGTTTTTCTGAGTCTTGAGTTTGGTAGAGGAGCAGGAAGTGATGGGATGGGAAAATGGCAGACGGCAGATATAGCAGTCAGATAGGCTGGTCTTCATGCTTGATGAGGGGCCTTTTTTCCTGCTATTTTCAAGATTTCTTTCTTCTCACTCACTGCCCTCTTCTTCCCCAGGCTATAACAGATCTCAAAGGCCAAGACCATATTTCTTCATGGAGCGGACTCGAAGAAACTTTTGTACAAAAATGCATTTTCATTTTTTATGTGCTTAAATCACACTTCCCGGGACACTTGGCTATTTCTGATTATAGCTGTAGCCACCGGTACACCTGCTGGGGTTTTCGTATTAAGCAGCTCTGTGGGCTTTCCCACTATAGTCCTGGGAAATTGGAATCCTTGCTCTAAAAGGCACTTCGGGCAAATGCTAGGTTTGTTCTTGAGATTTTCACTGCCTCTGATTGTCAGCTAATGGATGAGAAGTGCCTGGACCGTGGAGAGCATTTTCAATCATGGCTTTCGCCCTCTTCTCATGCTGTGCCTCTAAAAACTATTCTTGTTTTTCAGGCTGATGTGGTTATCAAGTTCCCTGAAGAAGAAGCTCCCTCCACCGTCCTGTCCCAGAACCTTTTTACCCCAAAGCAGGAAATTCAGGTATATTCCAAAGATGTTGTCCACTCAGCCCAGAGTTGAGGTAGAGCCAGGGAGAGAGCAGCGAACTTCTGGGCTGTGGCTCTGGCCCTTTGGCCTGTTTGCATGGTGCTTTATGGTGTGAACTTGGCCTCTCTGGAAGGTGGGTGGGGCAAGTTAGCGGTCCCCTCTTTCAGCTAAATCTCTGAAGTATCTCTAAAGCCCTCATAGAATAAACACACAGTTGTCAAGGACTTGAGGTGGGTCCCTCGGTGGACCGCTCCGCAGTTGTGAGATTCAGTCATAGTAGCAGCATGGAGCCCACTTGTGAGTGGGTGTCAAGTGTGAAAACACAGGCTCCTTTCTCATTTCACTGCTAGAATAATGGACGATAGCCAGGTGTGGGGCCCAGACCTGTAATCCCAGCATCAGCGGGCGGAGGCAGGAGGATCCTAAGTTCCGACCAACAAAATAAAGGACAGGCGCCCAAGGGAGGGGTAGAAGAGTTCATTCTAAATCTTTGTCATGGTCCATGGTACTGTTTAGGAATGCAAAATATAGTCACAAAGCAATATTGGCTGACAGTGAGGGAGGCTGGGTGATCTCCTGGGTGGAGCAGGTGGCAGCAGCCACTATAGACAGCGTTGGCAATCCCTTAAGAGCGTGTCAGCAAGAGAGGAGCCAAGGTGAAAATGTAGGGACTGGAGCCTCAGGCAGAGCTGCCTTCTCACAGAGCTGTGTTGGCTGGTCCTTGGCAACTGGAAAAGAGGCCATAGTTTCTATACAGAAGGACAGATATTTGAAAAGATAGGAGTACACAGTATTAAGACCACTTGTTCCTCACAGGATCTTTTACAAGCCTAGTAGAGTGATTGTGGCTCTCCCTACTCCCATCTCTTTACCTAAAAACTGAGGCAAAGAGTAACATGCCATTAGTCTCATGGCCAAACATCTGTTTGGACCTAGGTAGATCATTGCTACTTTGCTAGCTCATGCTGTTGAGGTGAGCTGCTCAGAGTTCACTGATTGCTCAGGAACAGATGAAACGAGTCTCAGAGGTGTGCTAGCCAGCTTTCTGGTTTAACTCTAGACGTTAAGCAGAGCTGATGAGGGAGGTCTGTTCATTCCATCTGAACCATGGCTGGGAATAAAAGAGTGAGGTAAGGGTGGACCGTCTGTTAATGAGGCCCTGTTAAATTTTAAAGTGGGGGTGGAGTTACTGTTAGTTGACCAAGTACCGTAACCTAGGAATCCAGAAGTGTTTTGAAGTCCAGAGTCCTTGAGTATAACATCCAAACCATCCCTAGGCCTGAACCTCCTTTTTGACACAAGCTGGGTGGCCCTTGGTGGTCTGCATTCTCCAGCCTCTAAATGGCAGTGATTCTTTGAGGTAGAAAGGCTGGCCATATATATACTGTCTGGAACCAAAATAGTGCCCTAGGAAGAGAGACCAGCAAAAGGCTTAACCTCTAGGAGACATTTCCTCTCCACAGTGGTTGGCATTTGGTCTCTGGTACACAGGCAGCCCCTGCTGAGAAGGGCACATTCTGAAACTTGCTGGTGTGTCTTCTCTTGGCAGCACCTGTTCCGAGAGCCTGAGAAGAGGCCCCCCACGGTGGTGTCCAACACGTTCACAGCCCTCATTCTCTCGCCCTTGCTCCTGCTCTTTGCGCTGGTGAGTCACTGTGATTAGCATGGGCAGTGGGTCTGGCTCTAGGAAGACAGATGGAGCCATTCCAAAAGAGTCTTTGTGCTCTGGCCTGAGTACAGCTCTGGAGGGGTCCAGCAGCTGTGACTTGGACTAATAGTCAGAAAGTTTTAGAATAACCAGAATTCCCCACTGTGGGGGTAGGGGGGAAGCCAAATCAACCCATCCATTAAGAAGGGAGCCTGAGAAAATTCCAGCAGCTTCTGACAGTGACAGAAGTGTACAGTCTGAGGTCCTCTGGGGGAGTGTTCAGATGAGATCAAGTGTGGAGAAAAGGAAAAATCGAGGCCAGTGTTGATAGCTTTAAGAATGGAGAACAAGCTATGCATTCCAGATCTCCTGGGAGCATGAAACCGGAATGAACTGAAAGTCCACTTAGAAGCAGTGTTAATTAGTCTGCCCACACAATGGAACGGTGTGCCAGTTAGCAGAATGACAGGTCTGTACACTGATGCCAGCAGGTGTTACAGAAAGAGGCGGGCAAGGAGGTAGGTGAGTACGTTTAGTGTAATCCTCGTGTGGAAAAGTTTTTAAAACTGTATTAATGTTAGTCACCTCTGAGGAGGAGACTTGGAGGTTGTAAAGGAAAGAAATTCCTAATTTTAATAGTAATGTTTATTTGTGTGTGTGTGTTATGTATATACATACACATATACACATATACATACATGTATGTTTGGTTTGGTTTTTTTGAGACAAGGTTTCTCTGTATAGCCCTTGCTGTCCTGGAACTTGATCTATAGACCAAACTGACCTGTAACTCAGAGATCCCTCTGCCTCTGTCTGTCTAGTGCTGGGATTAAAGGTGCGCACCACTACACCTGGTACACTTTTTTTTTTTTTTTTTAAGACTGTCTTGGAACTGGCTGTGTAGACCAGACTGGCCTTGAACTCACAGAGATCACCTGTCTCTGCCTCCAGAGTGCTGGGATTAAATACATGCACTATCACACCAGACTCAATTTATGTATTTTAACCAATTTAAATTTTTCCTTTCTTTCTCTGAAAATCATAAACATAGGTACATAACCTCAAAGTTCAGAGAATTTTGCCAAACAAAAAACAAAATTTTAGATATTATTTTTGGCAGATTACCTATGTTTTAAATTAACTGGTTTAGCCGGGCAGTGGTGGCGCACGCCTTTAATCCCAGCACTCGGGAGGCAGAGCCAGGCGGATCTCTGTGAGTTCGAGGCCAGCCTGGGCTACCAAGTGAGTTCCAGGAAAAGGCGCAAAGCTACATAGAGAAACCCTGTCTCAAAAAACCAATAAATAAATAAATAAGTAAGTAAGTAAATAAATAAATAAATAAATAAATAAATAAAATAATGAATTAACTGGTTGATTTTTCATCAAAGAGGAGTGATTAAATCTAGAAAGTGTGCCACAAGCTTTCATAAACAGACCTGGGGAGGGGGTGGTCTTGTAGTGGGGTGAGAGAGTTTCAAAAGGCACAGAGTCCAACATGAGAGCATGTTCCTGCTGCCTGTAGCTCATGGTACCAGCCCTGCAGAACCTAGTGGAAGTGGCAGTCACATCCTCATTAATGTACCTTCTGACCTTTGGGCTCCATGGTCTTGCCTATAGAAGAGTTTGCCATGGTTGGAAAATGATGCTCAGGTTTGAGCTACCCAAGCCCAGTTGAGAGCAGCTCCTCTGCTGCCTTTCAGAAGGAAGAAGGGGCAGTTCTTGAGGACTCAGAATAGGGTGCTTGTCGTCTGGGAAAATCCCTGTCTCTGTAGTGTGTGTGAACTTTGAAGCTCTGGTGCTCGCCATTGGATCAATGCTGGCACCATGTAGAACCATTTCATGTTGTAGTAGAACTCTTTCACAGTCTAATCTTCATTTATTTCTCCATCATTCAGTGGATCCGGATTGGTGCCAATATCTCCAACTTCACTTTTGCTCCTAGCACGATTATCTTTCACCTGGGACATGCTGGTAAGTGCCCCAGGCGGCTAATTCCATTTAACCTCCTCTGACATTTTGCCTGCCCACAAAAAAGCTCTGTTAAGTAGGTCCACAACCTATTAACCATAATGGCTTAATAGCATAACATTTCCCTCTTCCTCCTGGCCTTTTAGGACAGTTAATATGATGATGATAAACCTGTTTGGCCCATCAGCTGAGAGCAACTGCCACTCTGTTGGGCCTCATTGTACTGGAGGGGCTGTGGCAAACCATTTACCCTCATTTAATAGCCCTGTTCATTTCCAGAGATTACTCACTTAGCGTGTCTTTACACTGAGCCATCTTCCTGGATGAAGAGCATTTAATACAGTTTCCAAAGGTTATCTTTCCCCACCACATCGATCCTCACATTTGTTGGCGGCTCTCTCTGGACAGTAATAGAAAACAGTCCCTTCCTCCATCAGACACACTGTCCTCCATTGTTCTTTGGAGGATGCAGACTCTAAACAACCAAAACATAACAGGGCAGTGAATTCCCAGATCATTAAGCATTTCCAAGCCTTTGCATCTCACTGGAAAGTTCAGTATTTTAATTCCTTTGCCTCTCCAAGGAGTCACCATCTCTGCATCCACAGTACATGGCTACTCCAGGGGTCCATAGGACCTCTTGACATTCCAGGCAAATGTGCATCTGTATTTTTCTGAGGAAAGGGAGTCTGTAACTTTGATCAGATTCTCACAGTGGTCCATGACCTCAAAAGTGCTTAAGCACCTCTGTGGTAGTTCGTCTGTCATCCTGGGCAGAACTGGCACAATGACCTTTCTTCCCCACTTAGTTACTGGACTTGAGTGACAGCCTTCCTGGGTCAGGCTAGGAGCAAGACCTGAAGAGAAATGGATTTAGAACCCTGACTTTCATGCCAGGGTGCTTTTGTATGTGTTTCCTCATTGATTCTCATTGTTCAACCCTGATGGAGGTGACTGGGGCTGGAACTATGATCCATTTGATGGTAAGAGAATTTGGTCTTCAAGAAACTACAAGCTGGTAAGGATGGAGCTTGTACAAAACCCAGGACTCTCAGTGTCTGGGTCTTACTGAGCCCTTTCCACTGAGCTTCCCAGGCCTCCCTGCTCACATCCTAGCCACAGTGGCAAATCATTCTTGGTATAGTTCTAATGAAAAGGAAATGACTCATGTCCTGAATGTTTTTATTAAAAATTTGAAACATAAAATTATCTCAAATATTATAAAGACATAGCTCTGCATGAAGGAAGCAGAGAGTAGACAGGAATAGGCCTGTAGATGGGAGAGCGGTAGTACTTTAGTCCATTTTTTACTCTAGATTTCTTGGTAAACAAGGCTGAAGAACAAATCTATTGAGTCATCTACTTTCTGCAGTTGAGATAAAAGCTGCCTAGGAAAACTGACCTTTCTGACACACAGGCCCTGCTCCTTCCTCACCTCCTGTTGTCACTGCTTTGTCTAATTGGATGTCATGACACTTCTTGTAGCAATGCTGGGGCTCATGTATGTGTACTGGACTCAGCTCAACATGTTCCAGACCCTGAAGTACCTGGCTGTCCTGGGCACTGTGACATTTCTGGCTGGCAATCGAATGTTGGCCCAGCAGGCAGTCAAGAGGTGAGGCTGGGGATGGACCAAGCTCCAGGGTGGGATAAGAGATGTCTGTGTGGGCACTGCCAGCCTAGCTCTGAGACATAAAGCTATGTGGCTGAATGATAGCCATCCAGCCTGTTAGAGAAGCCATAAGCAGGTCTTTTAAAGAGGAAAGTAACCTTAGTGACTAGTTGTAGATGTTAAAGTCACAGTGTCCTACACATTAGGAAAGGGGGAAGAACTGCATTATGTTGACTAAAGTGTGTTAGATACGTGGTGGAAAGCCCTCTTGCCCTGCCCTCCTCCTATGCCCCCACCGTGGCACCACTGGGGCTCTGGATGGTGCCAGAGCTCTTCCTCCTACCCATAGGTTTGTGTTCTGCCCCTCGACAGTTGTGTAAGCTTGGCAGCAGCTCCCAGCAGGAGCATCCACTCAAAGGCCCACACTGCTACCCAGGAGTCAGACAGCCTGAGAGGCAAACAAATGTTCAGACCTTGATGTGGTGGCAGCTTGACTTTCAGAACAGAATTGGAGGCAAATTTAAATGTCACATAGGTGTTTCTCATTGATTTGACTTTATTAGAACCTGACTGATTTCAGCCACGCAAAGGCCAATAAGAAAAGGTCAGAATTGCTTTCACCTTTGAAAGAAATCATTTTCTGACGCAGCCTGCTTTTCCCCTCTGGGACTTAGGCTGGCAGAATGGAACTCAGTAGCATGCCCTTAAACACGCTGCCAGTTAGATCTGTTTGATCCAAAAGGGTGTTATCAAGGAGACCAGTGATGACTGGGCAGGGTGGGGGTCTCATTGTGAGCTTTGGAGTGCCTCACTGTGAGCTCCTGTGCAAACATTCCCGAATTCCTGTGCCAGTCTCAGTCCCATCAGAGCTGCCCTCGGTGCCCCCAGTAGCTGCTTAACTCTCCTGCCACTGTGCGTTGCATATAGAAAAGGCCAGGGCGTGGTGGTTTTTCCCCAGCAGAACATTGTTCCCTTGCAGCAACCAGTCTGGGTCCCAAGGAGCAGAAAGCTGGGCTTGGCTAACTTTTTCTTCTCTGGAAATTGTCCACAAGCCCAGCAAAGTCATGGGGAGAGCAGTGTGAGGAAGCCATTCCCTATAGAGTCCATGCAGCAAGCCTTCCTGCTGTGAACCCCGACTCTTATGCACTTGCTGGGAAGAGTCATGACTCTTTCGAGGCCCAGTGGCTCCCCCACCCCTCAGTCCCCTTCACAAGTCTCACAGCCTGTGCTGCCTGGGAAGAGGACCAGCCTTGACAGGAGCTGTGGTCGGGTTTACCGTGTGTCCTCGCTTGTCTCTCTCTCTGTCCTTTCTTGACTCTCAAACCCTCTTTCCTTTGGCAGGATCGCTGCAGAGCAGAGCAGTAGATTGGCAAAATATAGGACACTACGGTAAAGACAAAGGGCGACTCGTCCCAGATGCAGGCTCCCCTTCCCACCTTGCCCACTTCATGCATGCTAGCTACTGTCCTGGATTCAGCCCACTCATTCCTCCCACCATTCCCTACCCCAGAGTGAATTCTGAGGCCATTTTACAGCTTGCTGGTTGAGGTTGTGACTGGACCAGGGCAACTTCCCCATAGATTACTGGTGGATAAGACAAGTCTAACCTGGGCTTCTTGACAAGGGCCTCATCAACCCAGACTACATAGATTCACTAAACAGTGGTCCCATGGCAACTCCTGGCACACCTTGTCACTACGTCTAGGCCTTTCCAAAACACTAATCTCTACTTGGCCGAACGATGTGATTTGGTGAGATTCAGTTGTGAGTGACTGATGACCATGGATCAAAGCCAACAGCAGAATTGTGCCTGGAGCTCAGGGCGTAGCACACAGCTGTCCTCCTCCTGAGGGCTCTTGTTGGGGAGGAAAAGTGAGCGAGCTCCAGAGCAAAGGCAGGGTGCTGCTTAATGGCTCTGCTCCTGTAGATGAGGGGCCCGGGAGAAATTCTGGGGGAGGCCATGCTGGGTTAGGCTTCTGTCCGGTATGTTCCAACTCCTCATCTCCCTAGCCCGGAGGTGGGCTGGACTGGGCCTGTGGTGTAATTGGCTGACCTCTGTCTTACAGCACAGGTAGGACAGAGGTATTTTAATTTTCACACCATGTCTCCTTTCATCCCTTGCCTTAGAAATAGCTCTCCCTTCCAAAGACAGAAAGCAAACCCCAGCACACCTGCTCCTCAGAAAAGTTCTAGTCCTCAGAAAATAGGAAAAGTCAACAAAAACAGGCTTTAGGGCTTGCTCAGTGCAGTGTGGAGAAGCTGAGTGACCTTGTCCTTAACACGGAGAGAAAATGGCATTTTTTTAGGAGGTTGGTTTTTGTTTGTTTTTCTAGGTTTAAGCGATGTATAGTACCAGACGTGGTAGCTTACACCTATAATCCCAGCATTTGAAGGCAGAGGCAGGAGGATGAGGAGTTTAATATCTCCTGGGCTATAGGAGACCCTTTGTCTAAATAAATAATGAATAAACAAACAAAAATAAGCATGTAGCCATGTGACTAGCGCCTCAGTAAGAGACTCATCGCAGTCTGAGGCTCCCCTGTACTTGTGCAGGCTATCCCTCCCACCACCTTAGGTCCTGGCCTTACTCCTTCAGTTTTGCCCGAAATTTGAATTGCTCTGTCTGAAGTGTTTGCCTTCGGAACTAGTCCTTTGCAGCTTGTTGAGTTCTTTCATTCTTTCTCTGACCCTCCTGCTGCCTGAGTCTTGACTGTTGGAGCCTTTGGGACATGTAGGGCTGGGACCAAGTGTGCAGGCTTACCCCCTGTGGCTCAGTGCTGCCAACTGAGGCCACATGTTGGTTTGAGTGGGTATAGTGGATGGTCTCGGTTCTTGGCCAAGGTCTAGGGTTGCTGATTCCGCCACCTCGTTTCATACCTTTGCTGTCCTTGCAGCATGGTTGTGGCAGTATCCGTTGCCAGGCACGCACCCTGATGTTAGGAATCTCTGAGCATTGGTAAGGAATTAGAAGCACACACTCTGGTCCTCAGGACCCAGCACTGTGCCTGTGTGCCCTCCTGGGCACCACTTTGGCAGTCCGTTTGCAGCCTGCCATTCCGAGACCGACATCATCGCTCCAGTCCTCACCGTGACTGCCCACTGCCCGCTGAGGACGTAGAGCTCTGCTTCTGCTTGCCGTGTGCTTGCTGCTGCCACCTGGCTGCATTCTCTTTGGGGTATCAGTTTCTCTTCTGCTGCTTCCACAGCTCCTAGAGTCAGGGGAAGGTGAGAAAGAGTGGCAGAGAGATGCTCCTCTCATCTGAGAAGTGCACATCCCAGCACTCAGGAGGCTGAGGCAGGATCACAAGTTTGGGGCCAGCATGAGCTACATAACAAGACCTTACCTCAAAAACAAAACAAACCAACCACCTAACCAACTATACATCAAAGAAAGAAATGAAAAGAAGACAAACGAAAAGTAACGGTTTTCGTGAGCCAAGTGCCGTTTTCCGGACCCATTCTGTACTAGGTTAGGTTCTGAGTCCGCACTGGCAGGTTAACCTTCCTCCGTCTCTCGGCCTGTACTGTGAGGGTGTGCCTGGAATTACCTCATCTGTACTTCCACATGCTCCTTCCTTAGTGTCGGGGCTGACTCATGGTTGTCAAGCCATCATGGGCTCCAGTTATTTTTTGAAGTGAGATGGGGCATATATAAATGGAGCCAGTAGAATCAGGGCTGTCCCCTTGTCAGTAACATCTTCCAGTGGGAGAACCACTCGGTCTCCCTCTTGTCCCACTAGGAACCAAAACCGTTGGCAAAAACCATCAGTGACTGTGTCTGTGTTCATTTTCTTCCAGAACAGCACACTAGTTCCAGAAGAAGGTTGACGACCCTGAAAACGGAAATGATTCTTTAACAAGGAGTGAAGACCATTCATAGTGTGAAAAGAGGAATGAGGGGAAACAAAACAGAAAATGAAAAAAATCTGTTATTTAAAAAGAAAAAAGTTGAGATGTGGTTACACTTTTACTTGTTTTTCACTTTCTGTTTTACAGAGCAGATATGTTTGGGCCCAGATTGTCTGTCCCTTTGTCATGATGTCTGGCAAGATGCTGTGAATATCCCAGACTACCCAGAGGTTACATTTGAAAAGTTGAAGTCTGTAATTCATCTACTTTGGAATAAAGAGAATGATGATAGGAATAAAGGTCTCATTGAGAGTTTATTCCCGTCCCCAGAGCCTTGAGTGTATAATGTGAGGGCGAAGCTGGGGCTGGGTTATTAGTGCCTCAGCAGTCTTCGATTGGTCTTTCTCACTCTTTCTTAGCAGGACTGAGAGTGGCCTAGAAAAGCCTGTGTCCTTCCTGCTCCAGCAGTGAGCTCTTCATAGGAGCCACACTTGTATTTACAGGTCCTTGGTGTTCAGTCACAAGGACCCGCTCTAGACTTTTTCTTTGAATGTTTGGGTTTGGCATGTAGAGAAGTGTTGGAATTGTCTCAAAAAAGAAAGCTGACTGCCTCAGTACATTCATTCTGTGACAAAATAACATGAAGTAGGTAGGTAATTTAGAAACAGTAAAACAGATAATTTATAAACAGAAAGATAATTTATAAACTAAAATAGTTAGATAAATAATTTATAAATAATAAGATAGGTAGATGGATAGATCTTACAGTTCTGGGTACTAGAACTCAGAAGGCCCTGGAACATTTGGTATGCAGTGAGAGAGACACTCCCCTCTGGATGATATTGGTGCTGTTTCAGTGTTCCCAATAACAGAAGGGACAGAATGACAAAAGCAGCTAGCTAGTTCCCCCAGGCCCTTGAATAAAGGTAATAATTCATACACTGTGTAAATCGTCCCACCTTTAAATGCAGTGCATTGTGGATTTCTTTCAACATGATTTTGGAGGAACTCTAATTCAAACCATATCACTGACCACTTGGGTAAACATCTGTTATCCCAGCACTCCTGTAGGGAGATAGGAGGCAGACAGGAAACTTGCCTGGAAGCTGCTGGAACAGCTAGCCTGGAGTACACAGAGAAACCCTGCCTCAACAGGTAGAAGAGAACTGATTTCTCATACACACACAAATAATAGTAATATTTAAGAACAAATGTGTATGACTAAAACTTGGCCCATTGTCTGTAATTCTATTGAAACGCAATACGTTGCATGGTGGCACCCATTTGTAATCCACTCAGGCTGAGGCAGGCAGACTATGAGATCCAGACTAGATGGAGCTATATCTTAGAATCTTTGTTAAATTTGGGGTACAGAGATTGCTTTCTAGGCTAGCTAGATTTTGCTGTGGTAAGGGAATTGGAGTTTGGTCCGGGAAGAGAAAGAAGAACCCAGAACTCTAGGATAGTTCTATCTGAAATTCTGCAGTTGGAGGCCTCACCTCTCCCAAAGGCTGCAAACCAGTGACCTGTAAGTATTTTGTTTTATCCGTGGTAGTTAATAGTTGAACTAGATGCCAACATTTAAAAATTGAGACATTTGGGCTAGGAGGATAGCTCAGTGTGTGGAGACCTGAGTTTGACCCCGGTACCCATGGCTAAATGATGAGTATGCTTGTAATCTCAACCCTGGAGAAGCAGAAGACAGGCAAATCCCCAGAGCTACCACCGTCGGTGAGCCCCAGGCCAACAAGAGGCGGTCTCAAAAACAAGGTAGATGACCCCTGACCCCCATGCACACACATACCTGAAGCTGACCCCTGACCCCCATGCACACACATACTTGAAGCTGACCCCGACCCCCATGCACACACATACCTGAAGCTGACCCCTGACCCCCATGCACACACATACTTGAAGCTGACCCCGACCCCCATGCACACACATACCTGAAGCTGACCCCTTACCCCCATACACACACATACCTGAAGCTGACCCCTGACCCCCATGCACACACATACCTGAAACTGACCTTTGACCCCCATGCACACACTCACAGACACACCTGAAGCTCACCCCATGCACACACACACACACACACACCTGAAAGCTCACCCCATGCACACACATGCACACCTGAAGCTCACCCCATGCACACACACATGCACACACATGAAGCTCACCCCATGCACACACACACAGTCAGACACACACACATGAAGCTCACCCCATGCACACACACACACACACACACACACACATGAAGCTCACCCCATGCACACACACAGACACACACCTGAAGCTCACCCCATGCACACACATTCACACACACACACCTGAAGCTCACCCCATGCACACACACACACACACACCTGAAGCTCACCCCATGCACACACTCACAGACACCTGAAGCTCACCCCATGCACACACACACACACACCTGAAGCTCACCCCATGCACACACATTCAGACACACCTGAAGCTCACCCCATGCACACACACACACACACACACACACACACCTGAAGCTCACCCCATGCACACACACACACACACACACACACACCCCTGAAGCTCACCCCATGTACACACATTCACAGACACACACCTGAAGCTCATCCCACACACACACACACATTCACAGATACACACCTGAAGCTCACCCCATGCACACACATTCACAGACACACAAATTGTTTTCTGAGAGATTTTATATTTCAAAAACCTGGATTTTGATGGTAATTAAGAGCACATACTGCTCTTGCAGAGGACTCTCAAATTCAGTTTCCAGCATCCACATGGGGCAGCTCACAACTACTTTAATTTCAAGCTGGCCAAGTGGGCTTGACTGGCCACCAAGCCCCAGAGATCTGCCTAGCTCATACCCAACAGTGGGATTGTAAGGGTTGGGCACCATGCCTGGCATTTTTGTAGGCACTGGGGATCTAACTGGAGCCCTGCTGTTTTACGACTGAATCATCTCCCTAGCTAAGTTAGGACTATGAAATGTTTGTTGAGACAAGATATGAGCTGGGCGGTGATGCACACCTTTAATCTCAGCACTCAGGAGGGCAGGTGGCTTTCTGAGTTTGAGGCCAGCCTGGTCTACTGAGTGAGTTCCAGGACAGTCAGGGCTACACAGAAACCCTGCCTCGAAAAACCAAGGGGCGGTGGCGGGGGGTGGGAGGGGTCCCCACTATGTAGCCCAAGCTGACCTGGAGCTCATGACCCTCCTGCCTCAGCCTCCCTAGTATTGGATTATAAAATGAACCACCAGGCACAACCCTTCACTATTTTTTACTTTCTGGTGGTTTCCCAGGTTTCAATCAGGTGTGTCCCCGTCATAAATCAAGAGCACCTGTGCCATGATGAGGACACCCTGGACCTGTTAACAGAAGCCCACTGAGCAGTTTGTTCAAAGTCTACCTGTGCCTGATAGTTTAAGTCACTTGATGTCCCAGCTCGCAGTTCTGAGGGGCCTGGAGTCTTAGAGCCACAAAGAACATGCCCCTCCCCACAGCCGCCAGTCCCCAGCTTTGCTGCCTCCTGGGTGTGTGGCCTGGCACCAGTTGGCAGGCAGCCTGCCAGTAAGTGCAGCCCTGCCCCCTCCAAAGGGCAGTTGTAGGGAGCAATGGGGGAGTCTCCCTGCGAACTCCAAGTTAATACGAACATGAAAGGGACAAGTTCTCCATTGATTAGAAAACATCTTTAGTGCAATAAAAATGGCTCCCAGTCTTAAGTAGGGCCCCCTCGGGAGTGGGGAGCTCCCAGCTCCTCTGTGGGGAGGAGCTGAGGCTTTTAAGCAGTCATTGGTGTCTCTGCTGATGGAGCTAAAGCCCAGGGTTGCTGCGATGGTTTTGCCCTCTGTAATTGCATTCACCTCAAAACCCACAAATAGCCTCGGTTCTCAGCGGTCATTATTTCATTTGAAAAACTAATTGAAAGTTGAGAGAGCCCCGAGTTTTTGTGTTTGTTGGGACAGGGCAGGGAAAGAGATGAGCAGGTGGGGCCGGGAAGGAGGAAGGAGGGGGTGTGGGTCTCCCATTCAGGCCAGCTCCTCCTTTGTCCCAGACCTTGGCAGGTTCCCCGCCCCCTGCCTCTCAGCCTGCCCTTCTGGGCTAGCCTTCTCCTCTGGAGGGGCTTTTGTTTCCCATTGTTACTGCCCCCTCCACCCGCCCCCAATGGCTTCCTACAGCGCCTTTCCCACGCTTGGCGTTGCTTGCCCAGGCTGGGGGGTGGGAGCGTGGAGCAGGTGGTCTTTCATAGCCCTGGTGCTGGGGCCCTGGCTGCAGGCTTCCCAGGACTGAGGTCAAGTGCTTCCCTTTCCTGCTGCCAGTGAACCAGGCTGGCTGGGAAAACCAAGAGGTAGAAGTCCCATCCAATTTTAAATGCTGTGGTTATTTTTACACTTTTAATCAATCATTCCAGACATCCCATCGTCTAGGCTTCTCAGTTGTCTTTTTTGTTTGTTTCTGGTTTTGTTTTTCAAGACAGGGTTTCTCTGTGTAACCCTGGCTGTCCTGGAACTCACTCTGTAGACCAGGCTGGCCTTGAACTCACAGAGATATCCTCCTGCCTCTGTCTCTCAAGTACTGGGATTAAAGGTGTTCACCACCACCGCCACCCGGCTACGGTTGTCAATTTTTAAGGCTTACTTACAATAAAATGGATTTTTATTTTCATTTATCTTTTTTTTTTTTTTTTTTTTTTTTTTTTTTTTTTTTTTTTTTTGAGACAGTGTGGTAAGTATCCCATACTGACCTGGAATTTACTGTGTAGCCAAGGACAGTCACCTGTTTTCTGAGACATTGTCTCTCACTGGGTCCTGGGACTCACAGACTAGACCAAACTGATTGGCCAGTGAGCCTCGGGGATCCATCTTTCTTGATTCCCCCACCCTTCCACCCCCCCCCACACACACACACTGAGACTACTCCTGTGCCTGGCTTTTATGTGGTGCTGGGACCTGAACTCATGTCCTCACGCTTGCTTGCACAGCAGTAACTTGACCAACTGAGCTGGCTCTCTGGCTCCAGCTGATTTGTGTCCTTATTCTTTGTGATGCTGCCCCGGGAAAGGTAGCCATATAAACCATGTTAAGAAAAAAAATCAGATTGACCGTAGAGGAAATTGAACTGCAGATCAGGATGGGGATTTTATTGCATTTACAGAGGAAGGGGAGGTCAGAACTGAAGTAGAAGCAGTTGGGTCCAGTTGTGTTTGTGTACGGGTGGCTCAGACCTCCACTGAAGGCTTCATCCTTGGGAATCCCTGCTGTAGAAAGAAAGAGACACTCAGTCTAGACTCTAGTAAGCAGGAG